TACCACCTTTATTTATATTATTATTAATAAATTTATTATTAATAATATTTTTAATTATTAATTAATTAATACTAAAATTTAAAAAAATATAATTTCTAAAATTAAATAATAATCATAATAATTTTAAAATTAAACTATAATTATATTTAATAAAGATAATTTATTAAAATAAAAAAGATTTAAGTGTAAATAATAATTAATATTTAATTAATTTATATATATTAATATTATATTTTAATTAATTAAAAATATTATATATTTTTAATTTTTAATTTTAATTATTTAATTATTAAAAATATTAATTAATTAAATTATTAAAATTATTATATAATTATAATTATTAGAAAATATTTTTTAATTAATTAAAAAATAAAATTTAAATTAAAATAAATAGATTAATTAAAAATTTAAATTAATTAAAAAATAAAAATCTAAATTAAAATAAATATAATTAATTAAATTAACGTAATTAATTAGAAAATTATAAAACTTATAATTTAATTATAAAAGAAAACTTTTTTTAATTTAACTTTATTAAATATTCTTTTTTTTAAATATTATCTATTATTATTTATAAAGAAATAATTAAACCTATAATATTGTATAATAATATAGTAAATTTTATTATATTTTATTATAAATTATTGTATAAATAATAACTTATTTTAAAAAATAACCTAGTAATAAAGTTATTGTAACATAATAATATACCACCTAAGATTAAAATCTTAAAACAAAAATTATTCAAAGGTTTTATATAAGGTATTTACTAACTTAACCTAACTTCATTATAAAATATAACCAATCTTCAAAATATTATATTATTAAATAAATATAAAAAATTAATAATCTAAATTTAAAATTAGGTATAAAACTTTTCTGTATTATTATATTAAACCTTTTTTAAAATTAATAAATATTTTGTAAAAATCTATTACTACTTTTTTATTAATAATAAATAGATTAAAAATCTATTTTAATATTAATATAATATTGTTATTACCGCCAAATTAAAAAAATGGTTTAATTTTAAAAAGATTATTGATATTTTAATAAAAATAAACTTATATAATTAACTTAATAATATAATACCTTATTGTAATATAATAAATAAATTATATTAAATATATATTATTAATTTTTAAAATAAATAAAAAATTAAAAATTATAATAATATTTTTAAATATATCTTAATAAAAAAATATTTCAAAACTATATATATTAATAGAAATTTAACTATTAAATTTAATAAATTATTAATTAATATAACCAACGCCTTAATAATTTTAAAATTAATTTGGATAATATAATCATTTAATAAATAATATATCCCGCCTTTTTGATTTCAAATATTAAAAAGAATAAAAAAAAAATAACATTTCTAATGTATAAGAAAAAACCTACTATATAATTATTAAGAAATATTTAAAAATTATAATAATATCCTACCTAATAAGAGTAATAATAAAAATAAAATTAATAATAATAATAATAATTTTATTATTATTAATAATAGTAATAATAATAATATTGGAAATATTAATAATAAAATTGCTATAATAAAAGATTTAATTGCTAAAATTTTAAAAAAAATCTTAAATAATTAAAAATTAATAATTTAATATTAAAAAAATTAAAATAATAAATTTAAATAAATTAAAAAAATATTTAATAAATTATAAACCAATTTTAATAACAATAATTATAAAATTACCTAATAAAAAAAAGATATTAATTATTTAATAAAAGCTATAAAAATAATAAATATATTTAATAAAATATATAAATAAAATAAATTTAAAAATACCATTTAAACCTTAAATAATACCAAATAAAAATAAATTACCATTATATTTACTAATTTATTAAAGAAATTTTATAAATTTATTATTAAGAAAATATAATCTTATACCATTATAATTAATAAAAATAAAAGTAATAATATAAAAAAGGTAATATTAACCACTCCAATTTATACGTTAAAGAAACTATATACCAAAAAACCAAAAATATTAATATTTATATAAATATTATATAATAATTAAATTATAAATTTATAAAAAATAATCTTATTATTATAAATTTAATATATAAATTAATTACTAACAATATTTATAACCAATATATTATAAAAAAATTATAATAAATAATATAAAATAATAGTAATAAAAATATTACATTTTTTTTATTATAAAATAATTAATAAAAAATAAATAACTAATTTTCAATTAATTATTTATTAATTAAATAACTTACTTTAATTAAAAAAGATTTCGTTTTCTTTTTTACTTAATACATCAAGTTCTTACAAATTAATATTCCTTACATTATTATAAAAATATTGAATAATTTAATTAATTATAATATATTATAAAACTTATATTAAAAAAAGTTAAATTTGCTATAAATTATATTATAATTAATTTTAAAGCATAATATAGTAAAATTTATAAATTTATAAATTAAAATTAAATCTAAATTAAAATAAATGCGGTTAATTAAAAAACTGCAAAACTTATAATTTAACTATAAAAGAATTTTTTTTAATTTAGTTTTAGTAAATATTTTTTCTTTAAATATTATTTTTTATTATTTATAAAAACGTAATTAGATTTATAATATTATATAATAATATAAAAAAATTTAGTATTTTTTATAAATTACTATTAAAATAATAAAATTGTTATATAAGTAATAATTTATTTTAAAAAATAAACTAATAATAAAGTTATTATAATTTAATAATATATTATTTAAAACTTTTATATAAAATTATTATTAATTTAACTTAATTTTATTATAAAATATAATTATTTTTTAAAATATTATTTTATTAGGTAAATATAAAAAATTAATGATTTAAGTTTAAAATTAAATATAAATTTTTACATTATTATATTAAACTTTTTCCAAAATTAATAAACATTTTATAGAAATTTGTTATTATTTTTTTGTTAATAATAAAAAGATTAAAAATTTATTTTAATATTAATATAATATTATTGTTATTACTAAATTAAAAAAAATAGTTTAATTTTAAAAAAAATAGTTTAATTTTAAAAAAATATTAATATTTTAATAAAAATAAATTTATATAATTAATTTAATAATATAATATTTTATTATAATATAATTTGTAAATTTTATTAAATATATATTATTAATTTTTATAATAAATAGAAAATTGAAAATTATAATAATATTTTTAAATATATTTTAATAAAAAAATATTTTAAAATTATATATATTAATAAATATAATTAAAGTTTTAATAATTTTAAGATTAATTTAAATAATATAATTATTTAATAAGTAATATATTTTATTTTTTTAATATATAAAAAAAAACTATTATATAATTTTTTTAAAAAAAATTTAAAAATTAAAATAATATTTTATTTAATTTAAATAATAATAAAAAATAATAATAATTTGTCGGAAACATTTTTTACGTTTAAACTTTTGGAAATTATTATAGGAAATTAATAAATAATTGATAAATAATTAATAAATAATTAATAAATAATTGATAAATAATTAATAAATAATTGATAAATAATTAATAAATAATTAATAAATAATTAATAAATAATTTTTTAATAAATAATAAAAAATTGATAAATTAATAGAGAAAATAATTAATTAAAATTTATTAAAATATTTAAATATTTCCGACAGATTCTACTATGCAAGCCTGCAAACACGTGAAAACGCTTGCGCGAGCTTGCAAATACATGCGTTTTCCTAAATTTTAATAATAGTAATAATATTAAAAATATTAATAATAAAATTATTATAATAAAAGATTTAATTATTAAAATTTTAAAAAAAACATTAAATAATTTAATTTTTTTTATTAAATTATAAATTAATTTTAATAATAATAATTATAAAATTATATAATAAAAAAAGTATTAATTTTTTAATTAAAATTATAAAAATAATAAATATATTTAATAAAATATATAAATAAAATAAAATTAAAAATATTATTTAAATTTTAAATAATATTAAATGAAAATAAATTATTATTATATTTATTAATTTATTAATAAAAATGTAATTTTATATTTTTTTAATTAATAAAAATAAAAGTAATAATATAAAAAAAGTGATATTAATTATTTTAATTTAAATATTAAAAAAGTTTTACGTTAAAAAATTTAAAAAATTTATATTTATATAAATATTATATAATAATTAAATTTAAAATTTGAAATTAATTAAATAAAAAACGATTTTATTATTATAAATTTAACATATAAATTAATTATAAATAATTTTTATAATTAATATAATGTAAATAAATTATAATAAATAATATAAAAAAAATAATAATATTTTTTTTATTAATAAATGTGAAATGAAATAAAATGAGCTAAATATAATAAGTAACAAATAGTTATATTTAATTAAAAGCCTTTTATTTTATAAAAATAAAAAGTTTAATTAATATATATAAAAACAATTAAAATTTTAGTTTAAAATAATTAATTAAAAATCTTATTTGTTTTTAATAAATTATTAATAAAAAAATAAATAATTAATTTTTAATTAATTAATTATTAATTAATTAACTTATTTTAATTAAAAAAGATTTTTTTTTATTTAATATATTAAATTTTTATAAATTAATAATTTTTACATATAAATAATTAATTTACCAATTAATTAATAATAAATTAAATTGAGTTAAATAAGTTTATATTTATTAAATTAATTTTTTCAAGTTTTACTTATTAAACTAATGTTAATTACAGCAAATTACATAAGATGGTAAGCTACGCCTGCTAATATCAATACGTGATTACCACAACAATTGCGTGATTGTAAATTCGTACGCTTCTTAAGTCTCTTATATGCTGCGGGGTATATAGTCTTCACCCTGGGACTATGTCCTTGGGAATATATATATTATATATGTATTCGTTCTTTGAATGAGCTTGCGGAATAGGTGTAATCGTTTACAAACTCTTCGTTTTACTAATCTCGTTTTATCCATGGCGCTGGAAGCGCCTACCACTGGAGCTACCCAGTCTACACAGCTCCATGAAGATAAGCAGCGTTCGTACCCATCTTCATTGAGCCCGGTCGGAGCTCTAGAAAAGTTCTTCTACGAAGAGACAACTCCCAGCATCGGGCGGGAATATCCGAGTCTGAATATTGTTGACGACTTGCTCAACGCTAACAATGCTGACGACCTTATTCGTGACCTTGCTATTACCAGTAAGTTTGATTTGATATGAGCTACCATTTTACACGGAAAGTTGTGACTTAAACTTTATATAGTTTCGCAGAGGGGTGTAGTCTTCTTTCGTTCTCAGGATAACCTGACAAACGATCTTCAGAAGCAACTAGTTCACCGGCTAGGTCAACTCACAGGGAAACCGAGTGATTCAACATTGCATATACACCCGATCTTGAACGGCACATCTGAGTTCGGAGTGGGCGATGATCAAATTAGCACTATCAGCTCGCTACAACGGAAGAAGCTCCAAAGAGACATGCGTAAATCGAAAAGTAAGAGGTATGATTCCGCACAGTGGCATTCAGATATTCAATTTGAACCTGTCCCTGCCGATTATACGTCTCTTCGTCTGACGGAGCTTCCAACTACGGGGGGTGACACACTTTGGGCGTCGGGATATGATATATATGACCTATTTTCGAAGCCGTATCAAAAGTTCTTCGAGGGCTTGACAGCTACGTTTATTGGGGAAGGGTTCCTGGCTGCCGCCGCAGCTAATCCCGAAAAGGTCAAATTACACGGGGGACCAAGGGGAAATGATGCCAATGTTGGAAGAGAACTGAAAGCGGTCCATCCTGTAGTTAGGACTAACCCAGTTACTGGGTGGAAAAGTATCTTTGCAGTCGGGCCGTTTCCAAGGTATATTAACGAATTGTCAGACCAGGAATCCTCGGAGCTTCTCGAAAAGTTTGGTCGAACAATTCTCGAGAATCATGAATTGCAAGTTCGATTTAAATGGAGGAATAAGAACGACCTAGGTAAGTTCCTCATAGCTCAAGTATCAACATATATCATAAAAGTTATACTAATCTAAGATAGCAATCTGGGATAACCGAAGTGCTTTTCATACTGCTACTTTTGACTACGATGGTCTTGGAGAGAGATTCGGAAACCGAGCGGTCGGGATAGGCGAGGTGCCGTATTTTGATCCGAATAGTAAATCCAAGGCCGAGGCATTGTCAGGTAGGAAAAGCAATGGTGTGAATAGTACGAATGAATAAGGGGGACGAGAAAGGGGGTGGGGAGGGGGGAATATTGGTGTTTGAGTGATAGTATAAGGGTAGCTATTGATTAAAGGGTGATACAAGAAGAATAGCGGTAATAGTAACAATTGATGCATTCGTTCTCATTTATTATGAGTTATGTGTTGTTACCAAGTCGTCATTCTATTTACATTAAGTATAGTGTAAAAGGTATGTAAAATGTAAAATATGAAATATGAGAATATGGAATCATGGATGTATATAGATGATAATATTGATAAGGATTACATCCTTATCAACATTTGATATATTGTACTTTGTAGCTATGCGGGGCTGGCGGGGTAGAGGGGCTTTGGTGGGCTAAATAATATTTTACCCTGGCAGCTAGCAGCTGGGAAGCAACCTGCGCTTATGTATTATGCCATTTATACAAGTTAACGCTGTTAATTTAATGTTGTTAACAGCGAATACGGCATTGCTTCTGTTATTGGTTGTGAATTTGTGACTCAACCCAACTTTTCCTCAATCCTTTCCATTCCCAAGTCGCAAACCCGCAAACCCGCACACTTAACTTTACACTGCTCTACAAAATACTCGACTCCCCTTAAAATAATACGACAGCATGGCTGACGCCGGGTCTGGGGATGTCAAGAAGGTCGTAGTTGGTGGACCAAAACCTTCGAAGAAGGATAAGAAGAGTAAAGCAGCCGCCGAAGATGTTAGCTCTGGTCCCCTCGAGATGACACCACCGCCTGATTTCCTCAAGACACGCCTTGACTTGTTTGACCGTCTAAAGAAGAAGTATGACGAGGACATTGCCAAGAGACCGCGAGAACAGATTACAATCACCCTACCTGACGGCTCTGTCAAAATTGGAACGAGCTGGGAGACCACACCTGGAGAGATTGCGAAGGGTGTGTCGAATAGTTTGTACAAGCGCTCTGTCGTCGCTAGAATAGATGGAGACAAACTATGGGACTTGGAGAGGCCTCTGGAGCAAAGTTGCAAACTCGAATTGTTAACCTTTGACGATCCTAAGGGAAAGGAGGTATTCTGGCACAGCTCGGCCCATATTCTTGGCGAGGCTTGCGAGAGGAGGTTCGGCTGTTCCTTATGTATCGGGCCCCCGATCGATGATGGTTTCTACTATGAGATGGCCCTACCCGGTGGAGGTGCTGTCCAGACAAGCGACTGGACGCCTCTAGAGCGTATCGTTGGAGATATTGTTAAAGAGCGTCAACGATTCGAACGTCTTGAGATGACCAAAGATGAGCTGCTCGAAATGTTCAGCTATAACAAATACAAGCAGCACATAATCTCCACCAAGATTCCCGATGGTACTTCTACTACAGTATATCGCAATGGTCCTTTGATCGATCTTTGCCGTGGGCCGCATGTGCCTGACACTGGCCGGATCGAAGCATTCTCCATTATGAAGAACTCGGCATCATACTTTCTAGGATCTCAGGAGAACGATTCCCTCCAACGTATTTACGGTGTATCCTTCCCGGATAAGAAAAAGATGGCAGAGCATAAGAAATTCCTAGAGGAAGCAGCCAAGAGAGATCACCGAAAGCTCGGTAAAGAGCAAGAGCTCTTCATGTTCCACGAACTCTCTCCCGGTTCGGCCTTCTTCTTGCCTCACGGTACAAGGATCTACAATACGCTTCTCGCATACATCCGAGATCAGTACCATAAACGTGATTATCAAGAAGGTTTGTCCATTACCGACCCCTATCCTCCCTCTTCTTTCAATCATGGTAAACTAACTGCGTACATCAGTCATTACTCCTAACATTTTCAATTCGGAGCTTTGGAAGATCAGTGGACACTGGGAGTATTACCAAGAGGACATGTTTGTCATAGATCTGGATAAGGAGAAATGGGGCCTGAAGCCCATGAATTGCCCGGCCCATTTTCTCATGTTTGCTCACAGTCCCAAGGTATATAGTCAGCTGCCATTGCGTCTCGCCGACTTTGGTGTCCTCCATCGGAACGAGGCGAGCGGTGCCCTGTCAGGCCTTACTCGCGTCCGTCGTTTCCAGCAAGACGATTCCCATATATTCTGCCGACTGGACCAGGTCACAAGTGAGATTTCCGATTTGTTTGATTTCCTCTCCGAGATGTATGGTCTCCTGGGATTTACCTTCAAGCTTCAACTATCTACCCGTCCCGAAAAGTTTATGGGCCAAATTGAAACTTGGGATAAAGCTGAGAGCATGCTAAAAGAGGCTCTTAACGGGTTTGCGGCTGGTCCCAGTGGTGTGTCTTGGACTCTCAATGAAGGAGATGGTGCCTTCTATGGACCTAAGGTAATCTTTTAAGGGGGTTCCGCTCCGATCATGTACAGTTTTGCTAACTATGCTTCAGATTGATATCAAAATATTAGACTGTTTGAACCGAGTTAGTGTACCTACTTATTCTATCTTATAGCTTGGTCGCAGCGCAAAGCACCGCGTTTCGCTTTCATTTCAAACCCCATGTATTACAAGCTCAAGGAGTCGAGCTGACCGTATATTTAGGAGTGGCAATGTGCTACAATTCAACTTGACTTTATGGGCCCCGAGAGTAATATCCCTTATAATTGTATTGCATATTCGTTGCTAACACTTGCTAGACTTTGGTCTCGAATATGTCACAGCTGAGACGCACGCTGCAAAACCCAAGCAGGATGAGACCGCTACAGAGGAGGCAGGAGCTAAAGCAAGCGAAGTTCAACCGGGTAACGCGGCCCCGGCGAACCCGGGCACAAGTGAGAGTGGAGCGAAACGGGAGAGGGTAATCAAGCCTTTGAGTCCCGGTTGCGCACGTCCAGTTATTATTCATCGCGCTATGGCGGGATCTATAGAGAGATTCATGGGTAAGAATGTCGAACGTCGGGGAACATGAAGGCGATTAGACTACTTACGTTTAATTATTTAGGTATTCTCATCGAGCACTTTGCAGGAAAGTGGCCTTTCTGGCTGAGCCCGCGTCAAGTGATGGTTATCCCAGTCGGAATGGGCTTCATGTCATATGCACAAGAAGTTAGGGATATCCTCAAGAAAGAGAGGATATTCGTCGATATCGACACTAGCGGAAACACGCTTCCCAAGAAGGTGCGAAGTGCACAGCTAGCACAGTACAACTTTATATTCGGTTAGTATTTCATCCTATCGGAGTTATTAGGACTATCTGTTTTGAGTCTACGTGAATACTGACGCGATCGCAAAAATATAGTTGTCGGAGACGAGGAGATGAAAGGTCGACAAGTGAATGTACGATACCGAGATGATACATCTACCCAGGATCGGGGTAAGCCTGTGCCTCTAGATGAGGTGATCGAGAAGTTACGAGGACTCCAGGCCGACCGAGGCTCATATAATCCCTTCCCATCAGAGAAACAGGCAAATAAGAAGGCGGCATGAATGAAGGCTCAGATTTGTTAAGTAGATGCCGATAGACTAACGGACTATTAAGCCTAAACCGTGCGGGATGACCAAAATAAAAGATAATTCAGAAGCTGCTATATGCCGAGGATGTATTCTATTTTCTTAGGATGCTATTCCTACATAGACTTTTTACATACATAGATATCCCTCCTAGTTTCAGGTGGTATTGTGTTAAAAAAAATATGGCGGTTGTGTGGTGCGGTGTTTGGACATAGATCAATACTGGTGTTCTGCAAATGTCATCTAACCTAGTATATTCCATAAGCTATAAGTTAGCTGACTACCAGCAGGACAAGTAATAAAGTCGCTATGGCATGACCAATATCAGACTAGTATATCAAAATTAGACCTTCCAGTATAATGTTATTAAATCTACTATCAACATAAGCTAATGTCATTGAAGCATGACTGATATCTAGGATTCTATCTATATACGTGGTCTCCCTGATCTCTGCGGCCTATGAAATCTTATAAACTAGCTTCTCAGCCTTGACCTTACTCTCTTGTTGCTCTTGGAAGCCAGTCAATATAGTATCGAAGCCACCAAGCTCTCTCACCTTGTTGGGCTTGATTTTACCGCTGGATAGTAACTCCGGGAGTATCGTCAAGTACTTCTCCCACATGGCCTTGTCTTGCGGAGTTGGCTCTCCACAATTGTCAAAGGTGCCGTATTTTATAGGACGCCCGAATACGGTGTAGACAATTGTGCTTTCTAGCTTGATATTCTTATTCTCGATCTTCTCCCTGATCTTATCTACAGCGAGGATAGTGACAATATGTCCGCCTTTGGTTGGTGATAGAGACTTTGCAACGGCCTCTACCGTGCCGTTCTCGCCGATGCAATCGAAAGCAAACTCGAGCCCGTCGTGCGTGAGTTTCCGAACCTGCTCGGGCCAACTAGGATCCTTGTAGTCTATGACGGCATCGGCACCTAGCGACTTTAGAAGCTCGTGATTCTGGGAAGATCCGGTAGCTATCACGAAGGCGCCGGCTAGTTTTCCTAGTTGGATAGCGTACTGGCCGACGCTTGACGTACCCCCGTTGATGAGGAATGGAAATGCAGTCTTAGCCGGCTTGCTCGGCTCAGGAAGTTTTAGCCTCCCGAACATGGCTTGTACAGCAGTTGCAAAGGCGAGCGGGATCACAGCGGCATCTTGGTAGGAGACATTATCCGGGATTAGGTATACCAGGCTTGCCTCGGTGGCGACGTATTCAGCAAATGCTCCTCGGGGCGGATTGGTGGATGATCCAAAGACAAAACCAGCGATACGCTGTCCTTCTCGCCAGTGGGAACCGTTTGTGTCTTGCACAGTACCGGCAAAGTCACAGCCCAATATCCGACCAGGATGTACGGACAGCATGCTCTTCCAATCTGTTGGGTTTTGAGCTATGTAGTGGGCTTTGACCAGGATTTCTCCTTGGCCAAGTTTTGGCACATCTATATCCTGGATCTTCGCCGTCTTGCCCTCAACGACGACTAATGCTTTCATTTTTGATGCCATTGTTATCTTGGTGGTTGATAACAACCGTCTTTGTTGTGCTGTGATGTATCGTGTTAGATTTGTACTGGCGAAGAAGATAAAGAATAAAGGGGATAAGGGAAGTCAAAGGGGACTTTTATGGGTGAAGTTAGTATGCCGAGGTATAATTATGTAATGCTCGATGTAATATAGCGAAAATCATTACGTACCTACACCATATCTAAAGGGGGCCTTATAGATTATAGAATTCAGAAAAGCTCCGTAGCGGCTAGAACACTTGGGTAGTCCTAGGTATTTTGGAAAACTTATTATTGATGTCATTTTCTTTCTTTTATTATTAAGTTTATATCGAGGGAGGCTTCTATAAACGTTTGAGGGTTAAGATGTTTAGATATTCCATGGAAACTTAAATGCCAGGTTTTCTGTATAGCAGAGGCTGTATCGGAATATAATCGAACCGGGAAGTCTCTTGATCCACTTTACGGCATGCATTTACTTGGTTTAAATGGCTTCTAACTCTTCACTAGATAGAGGCGGTGAAAGATTGTTATTATTGTTACATCAAGAAGATCTATTGCTTCGATATGATACGTCGATGAATCGTAGTATATATCACTTATACGCGGAAATATATGTGTTACATATTACCTAATATTAAACTAGGCAAATATAATTCCCTTAGTCTGAACGATTTATAAGCTCAGTCTTTGTAATCCTCATTCCCTCGTCTATACATTTAGGCCCTTAACAAGTCCTATCCCTATTTAGTATAGGAGTAACTTAGGAGAGTATAGAATCGTACGTATCTATCGGACTACTTATAGTAATTCTGTACACTCAATCCCTTGAATTCGAAAGATGTTCCCTCACGCTTGTCGAGAATAGTCTTGTAATGCACATCCTTAACTCGTGCTCTCACGTACTCAGTTCCGGAGACTACTGGCTTATTCGGGTCTTTGTCTTCCGCTGCAATGAGCCCAAGACGGTCTAGCAGCGGAGATGGGACAGTCTTCATGGGCGTATTGGCGCCAGGCCTACTAAAATAGAGTAAACCAAGTCGTGGAATGCTGATTTGATCTTTCGGCGGCGTGACCACACGATGAATAGTTGACTTGATGAACCCTTATAGTCAGGTAAGCTTGGTGCATAGGTAACCGATTTGGAGAGTTGATATTTACCGTTTGTTAGAAACGTCAAAGTGTCCGCCGCGTTGCAAGTGACTTAATACCTCTGGGTTAATATAGAGCTATACGCAGCGAAGGGGCTGACCTACTACCACCCTCTACGGGGCTCACATATTTCCACTCTCCCTCTGGCGTGCGTATCTGCAACCCGGCAACATGTTGGGAGAATAGTAGAGTCAAGCTGCCAAAGTCGGTGTGACCACCCTTAGAGTAAGCTTGGGCTTTATCCCATTCCTCTTGACTTCTTACGTTGTAGATCATGTACCGGAGGTGGTCGTCTGATTCTTCGTCATAAGCGTGTGCATCTGCGAGGTAGTTTTCTGGAAGTTCAAGAATGATGGAAATGAGCACGAAGAGTTTCCGGATTACCTTATCGAACAGATCTCTATGAAAAGATGCAATCTCGTCCCAGTTCTGCTCAACAATCCTGTGCCTCCCGACGTTGTCAAAAGCCGGAATGTTTTTGGGTATATTTAGCATTTCCACGTTCTCCTTGACTCCCGTGTCGCCAATCCAACGTGAATTCTCTCTGTATCCGAAATATTCGCCTTCAGCAAAGTTACAGGGAAACCGTCTCTTCTCCTCCAAGGGCTCCTTGAAAAATGTATTTCCGATGCTGAACTGACGAAGAACACGCTCATCATCAATGCCCGTATTGACTACGGACCAGAAGCCAACTTTAGTCACGGCATCATAAAGTTGCTTAGCAAGCTCTTGCTTGCCGCCGGGCTCGTCAAACCGCGACAGATCGATCTTGGGCAGTTCTGCATATTCAAGATTCTCTGAAGTCTTAGTTGGCCGAGTCCACGGTTTCACTAGAACTTTGCTATCATACAGCTGGCTTGCCGCTGGCGTCTCGATGGCAATAGGGGCCATACTGATTGACTCAAAGAATATTTTATAATTTCTTTTCTGGACGGAGATATTTCCGTAGCTTAGTCTGATTAAGATAGTCTTGTCTTATATCAACCAAGCTATATATACTAGACGTTGTTTTCTATTACAACATTTAGTCAAACTAGTTAGTTGTAAGTGCTCTTCCATAGAGTATAGCGTACGTCTTTTAATGTGATTGGTCAACTTCTCGTGGGATGGTTGCGGGGGTAGTTGCGTGCTTTGTGTTCTCATCGACCTCATCGCAGGCGTGCTCGGAAACCCATCAATGAGATTAGAGGAACTACCGGAATACCTAATAGGGCCCCAAAATTATCGGATGCCCCTCCGCAACCTCTGGTTTCCCGCGGTAGTTGATGGTAGACCTCGAAATGGGGGATACCGGAGCCCGATTGACCCCTTGCAATCGCCACGGAGGTCACAAGTGATAGAAATTAACTTGCTATCTCCGTTAACTATTACCAGGGCCTGGAAAATAGAACTAACTGTAGGGGGTCTCTAATTCCGACGTACGCTCTTATAATGTGGTATGATAACGCAATAAAGGTCGTGCCTAGCTTAAGCTCGGCAAACCGCCGCCAACCCCTTGACGTCGTAATTCGGGCCACGCTCATCTATCTATGTAAAGGCTACTGCCGCCGAATCGGCTGACCACTCTTTTCTTGTTCCTCAAGGCAAGCCCGCTTGCCCGACACTGCACCGAACGGAGGTTCCAAAGGAGAACCTGTTATACCTAACTCTGGTATAGGCTGTTTGCATACTGCCGTCCTAGCAAATCCCGACATGGCTTCCAGCAGTAGTAAAGTCGACATCAAGGTCGACGACACGGCAGTCTCGAAACGTGGCATCGGAACCGATGTTCCTATAGATCAGGACGTATCCGGCGCCGACTTAAAGCTCGAGAGGACTGTGATGAAGAAGATAGATATGTGGCTAGTTGGCTTTTATTCATTGGTTTACGTCTTTAGAGTTATCGACTCGTCCAATTATTCAAATGCAGCTATCATCAATCTTGAAAATGGTACAGGTATAAAGAAGCAGCTAGGACTGAGCCCTTCCCAATGGGCCTGGACATTGTCTATATTCTCCTACAGCTACATGATTTTTGAGCCCACGAACACCCTCGCGATGAAGGTATTTTCACCTTCGAGATGGATGTTTGTACTCATTCTCGGCTGGGGTATATCTGCCTGCTCATCTGCAGCAGCACAGGACTTCACAGGTGTAAGTAGCTACGGGTTCTCTAAGCTTCGAAGCCATTCACCTTGTAGACCCTAACATATATGTACATAGATGATGTGTGTTCGGTTTGCCATTGGGCTGGCCGAAGCTGGGTTCTATCCCGCCGTATTATACCACATGGCCTTTTGGTATAAACCTATCGAAATGCCACAGAGGATTGCTATTTTTTACTCGCTCGGTCAGCTTTCTCCGGCGGTGAGCGGCCTGCTTGCTTATGCCATTGGATTCATGGTAAGCAGCTCTATCTTATATCGTCTTATTTATTGTCACCTAGCTACCTGGATAATTGTGCTCTTGTTTAGTGAGCATAATTACTGACGATCTTATAATTTAGGACGGGCTGGGTGGTCTTGCTGGTTGGCGATGGCTTTTCTTGATTGAAGGTTTGCCTGCTATTGTGCTCTCTGTTGGGGCGTTATGGCTACCGGACTATCCCGAGACAGCTCTGATGCTCACGGACGAGGAGCGAGACTTTTTACAAGACCGTCTCGAGAAGACCGCCCCCTCGGGAAGGAAAGGGTACTGGGATTTCGACTCGCTAAAAAAGCTTATCAAAGATCCTACCTTTTATACGTTTACATTATATTGGATCTGCCATGGAGTCGGTGGTTTTGGTATTGGAACAGCGTTGCCTACTGTCATTTATGAACTAGGATTCACTACGACGTCCAACTCGCAGCTTATGAATATTGTAAGAAGATGAACCTGGCTCCAGCCCAAGATTATATCTAATATGTATATTACAGCCTCCTTACCTATCCGCGTTCCTCTTCTTGAACATCTTAGGTTACTTTTTGCATAAAAAGACCATCAGGCCATGGACTACTGCCGTTACGAGTGAGTATACCTAGAGTTAACTACGGAATGTATTATTATGGATGCTGATAGTTTCGTAGTTGAGTCGACTATCATTGTTTGCTATATAATCCTCTTTACAGTCCGCAACGCGGTGGTGAGGTATATATTCTTGATTGTCGCCGTCTCGTGCGCGGGCTCGGCATATCCAGTAATATGGCCGGAGCGTATTCGAGCTCTCAGGGGGACAGTTGCATCTGGGTTAGGTATTGGGTGGACGAATGCTATGGCGCAATTCAGCGGTATCGCAGGCCCGCATGTTTACAGCACAGTGTTTGGTCCCTCGTACCATGTGTCATATGGAATTTGTCTCGGGTTTTTGAGTGTGGGAATCGCTGCAATCTTGACTTCTTGGTGGCTTGTGTGGCGGGGGGACCGAAAGAAGCAAGTAGAGCAAGACCAAGGGGGTGAACAGTCAATCTTATAAAGCTAAATGATGCATAATGGTACTAAGCAACCTTACGAGAAGTATACAAAGTAGGCCTATGTAATATATCTTATACAATAATATGCAGAACACAGTGTCGGGGTTACCTTGGCATATTTGGATATCTTCATAGCAGGTAGGTAGTGACAGCAGTTGAAATTGTGAGCCAGAGGGAAAATCCAGGGCTATAATATATCATATGCTAATATGCAGTTGTTGAATGTTGCACGTCAATACTCGTATAAATACAAGATGCGGGACAGGTTTAATAAAATTTTAAATTTTTTTTCTTTTTTTTTCGCGTGGCGGGCGTGTGAGAGACGATGGTCGGGATAAAGGCCGAATGAGGAAGTGTATGCATATCAGTGTGTCAAACTTGATAGGTGCTTGTATGTAGGCATGATCTGACTTATATCATACTATCATACATATCTCTCCATCGATTCATAGTGTACATACATATATGATACATGTATGATATACTTACATACATATGTTAGGTTAGGTATTGCAATGTAGTATTTTTTGGGTTGTATTATAAATCAACACGGCCATGAACTCCGTATCGGGATTGCAAATATTAATTTGCCTAACCTAGAATTTTACCTAGGCATGTGGGACCTCACGAGCTCATAACCAAGGTTGGTATCCATAGATACCCGTCGAAAAATATGAATCCCGTCTACATCTATGATATAAAGCTAAGTCGTAGCATCGGGGGTAGACCCGTTTAATACTTAGCCATAAACGCATCAAGACGTCATCCCTCCTTAACATTTTCGACTACATCGTATACATAAACTGACTTTACACCCAGAAAATAAACAGAATATATCTGAAGGAGTAACCTAGAAGTTTGACTCTCACCTTTCGTTTCTTAACGTATCCCCGCCAGACGTCAGCCTATATTCTACTAGAGTTAAAATCTGAGCGATAGTCGACTTCGCGTGATACAACAATGGCGCCAAATAAGTCTCTTATTTTCAAAAAGGTTCCTACTGGTTTTCCGGTTCCAGGAGAGCATCTCGCCGTTGAAGAGCGGTCTATTGACCTCGATGCGGCCCCTCCAAAAGGCGGCCTGATTGTTGAGATACTCTATGCTTCTTTCGACCCCTATCTTCGCGGTAGGATGCGTGATGCTGGTGTCAAGTCTTACTCGCCGCCTTTCGATCTTAACGGTCCATTCTCAAATAGCACTGTTGCCCGAGTTCTAAAGTCGGACACGTCGGATTTTAGCCAAGGAGATATTGTGTCCGCATTTCTTCCTATTGCCGAGTACGCCACAGTTCCTGATGTTTCTGCTGCCAAGGTGCGCAAGATCGACAACCCACATAATCTCGATCTTGGCATGTTTCTAGGCCCCTTAGGCATGCCTGGCTTAACAGCCTATTCGAGTCTTCATAAGATTGGAAAACCAAAGAAGGGAGAAACAGTTTTTGTTAATTCGGCTGCTGGCGCTGTTGGGCAGGTCGTGGGTCTAGTCGCGAAGAATGAAGGACTTAAAGTCATTGGCTCGGTTGGCTCTGATGAGAAGCTAGATTATATCATAAATGAGCTCGGATTCGACGGTGGTTTCAACTATAAAAAAGAGAGTGCATTCGATGCGCTTAAGCGCCTTGCACCCAACGGAATTGATATCTACTTTGAGAACGTTGGTGGAGACCAGCTCGATGCGGCTTTGGAGAATATGAATACCCTCGGACGAATTCCAGTTTGCGGAATGGTACCGTCCCCCCCTTACCCTTTTTGATAGCTTGTCTGTGCTAACGAACAAGTAGATTTCGGGATACAACTTGCCACCTGACCAAAGATATGGTGTCAAGAATCTCTTTCAGCTTATTGCAAAGCTCATAACGATGCAAGGTTTCCTTGTCGGACAACCTGAATTCGGGCCTGCATACTTCGAAGAGCACCAGAGACAAGTTCAAAAATGGATCGTAGAAGGATCTTTCAAGGCTAAGCTTCACGTCACTGAGGGCATCGACAAGGCGGCTGAAGGGTTCGTGGGAATGCTTAAAGGCGATAATTTTGGTAAGGCCGTCCTGAAAATTAAGGATTAGCCTATAACCATCTTGTCATTTGTATGTAGAAGTCTAGCTTGTAGGCTAGAGACGTAGCTTGCGTACATACCTATGACTTCTAATCGATCATGAATCAATATAGTGAGTGTACTGATTGTAAGTAAAGCGGAGATATTAAGGCTTGGCTGTGAACTATTAATCATTAGACGAATGAGTAGCTATGCCTAGCGAAACGTACCATAGAATGATATTTAGAGTATCACCGCCCTCGCGGTCGGATGAAGTCATAAATTAGTCTTACTAACGGCTTGAACAGTCGACCGTCGACCTTTAATATAACAATTTTATGATTAGGCATATCTTGGTATCTACAGCACCATCTCTATTTCTACATGTTGCGTGTGAATAGCACGGGTATAACTCCAAACAAACTATTTGGGAGATGGGACGGTGCAAGATGTTAAACCACATCCCGTATTAAAATCTAATAGGACTGAATGACCCCCCTCCCCCCTTTCAATCCGTATAAATGCACCCTTATTTTTAATGACGAGGTAATCGAGTCTAAACATAATTATCATGATATTTCTGAACGCTTAAGCAGCGAACGAAAATAGACTGGGGTATGTAATCCGACGCCAGGAAAATGCACCCGATGACGCACCCCTGATCCCTCTTTTGGACTCGTCGTCTCCTAACAAACGCCATTTCCTGATGACAAGACACTTGAACAAGCCCTACTTCACGATCGGCTGAACCCCTGCTTCGCCTGGGATTGATTAGTTACTACTCTTCGTATTAAGCGATGGGATACGTTTTTAGCTTACCTTCATCTGCTCTATTCTTGCTTTGAGTTGACTCGTGACTTCTGCTGCCCTCTTCCAATTCTCGGCTCCATTACTACCGGTTCCGGCGGCCATCGAACTCGCGGCGGACCCGGTGTTGTGTCCAACCCCTTCGTCTATTGCTGCGCTCCTAAAGCCACGAGCAGGGCTCCCCCTTCCACTTGAACCACTGCCATATCTTAACTCTGGACTTAACTTGCTCCTAGGGTAGTTATGTGGTGCGTCACCGTTTTCCTTCTCTTCTGAAAATGTGCTCGCGAAGCTCATTCTGTTTGTCCTAGATCCCGGGTAGTTTGTGTTATCACGGTAGATGCCCATGTCATCGGGAGTAGGACTTGTCATTCCCGGACTTCCAATGCCACCAGAGACGCCAAGCCCCTCCGCCCTACTGAGTGCACGCTTGAGACGTTCAAGCTCCCGCCGGAGTCTTTCATTTACTTGCTCGGCTGCTTCTGCGTCACTCCTCGCTCGTACTAGCTGAGTCTCTTTGGCCTTAATGCTAAGAACATCTCTCGTGTGGTCCTCGATAAGCCCGGCGTTGTGATTTTTGAGCTCTTGCACTTCTGACATGAGCTTGCTTCGTTCGTGTCGCATATCATCTACCTGTTTAGTGAGCCGTTCATTTGCCGCACGTAGTTCCTCTAGTTCAGCACGCTCTATGGCTGTAAGCCCACTTGACGGAGGTGGCGAGGGCGCCGAAGATGTTACGGCGGGCGTGGTAGGTTTCGCTAACGACCGTGCTGCAAGACCACCTCTTCCGAGCCCGACTCGAGGTTTTGGCTGTGGTGGTGATGCCGGGGCCTCCTCCTCTTCTTCTTCCTCTGGAGGCGGAGGGACAGCAGTGGCTGGCGCTCTTCGGGGGGATGCGATGCCAGGGGCGCCGAGGCGTCTTTGCGGTGCTTTTAACCCGGACAGGCCAGAGGACTTGGGCATTCCAAGCTTACTGCCCGGGGCGGCTCGAGATGTCGGTTGTGGTGCGAGGGAAGCGGGCTCTTGTACGACCGGCGCGGCTTTCTTGGCGGTCCCGGCGGTCTTTTTGGTACCGCCACCTACCTTCTTTGGACCACCGGGTGGACCCCGTGCTGCCGGAGCTGGGGCTGGTTTCGGCTTGTCTTTGGCTTTAACCTCGGCCTTCTCGAAATACTCCTTGATTTTAGTTTTTCGTATATCGTCTAGGCCTTCCAGGTGAGGGTTCATGGCACGTTCACCAATAATCTTCATGACTGTACCCAGAACCTCGGCACCACCGGACCTCAACCCTTCGCTACCCTCCGCAAGTAGCTTCTTCGCAGCTTCTACAATACTCGCGACTTCTTGCTTGTTCGGCGGATCCCGGGTTGTTCTAAGACAGCGGACAAGAAACTTCATGCTTCCCTCTTTTACCTGAGGGTTCTTGTGGGGGAGAAATGAGAGAATTTCCTCCAAACAGTCAGACAAGCTTGTCGCCAGGAAGACTTGGTCTAGTGCAGCCCCTAGTGCGTCTGCAACGGTTTGTTTTTTCTCTTTTAAACGCTCCATGATTGGCGTCATGACTACTGACCGGTATTTACCATAACCTTTTCGAAGACCCTTTGCGAGTACTTCGATACATTGAGCCGCCTGGGTGACGACGGCAATATTGGCGTCTTTCATGCACTTCGCTAAGCCACGGTTAATCTCGTTGAAGTCACCATCTTTGATTCTTGGTACGTTGAGTATAGCAAAGAGCGACTCAAGAGCCTCTTTACGGTCCTTCCATTTCGAAGATGCAAGATTGTCATGAAAATTGGCTGGAACTTTAGATAAGACGTCTTGTGGCTCTGCAAGATCGAAGGCATCAACTTCGGCTGGCTCATCGATTCCATCATCGTCGTCCACGTCCTCTTCAGCCCCAGGCGGCGGAGCACGAGCCAAGGCTGCCTGTTGAGTTCGTAGAAGGCGTTCCTGTTTTGGCGGCGGCTCTGCTTTAATCTTTTCAAACTGGGCTTCTAGATCAGACTGCTGTGTGGGTTTTAAATCACCCCAGAACATGGGTTTCATGGCGTCCCTCAGCCATCGATAAAATTCAACAGCTAGATTGGTTGCTTCGGCTCGCACATTCTTGTCCGCATGTCCAAATGCTTTAGGGAGGATTTTAAGGACCGGCTTTGGGTCGGCTATCTTGCAGCCGTAGCTGTGGAAGATGGTCGTGAGGGCTGCTAAAGCAGCTGCGATGACCTTGGGTTGCTTCGCAGATACGGCCGGGAGGATATCCTCAACAATGGGACCGGCGGCATCGAGCTCGATAAGAAGCAGTAGGGCCTCAACCGAGGCGGCTTTGGTGGCAGGCCTTGTGGACACAAGGCCTTTCTCGACGATGGGAGTGACAACATGGCCACGTGAACGAACGCAACATTCCTTACCACCGAACTTAAGGAACGCGCAAAATGCTGCAATACCGTCGGACTGCGCGGCAACGTTTGAATCCGCGACTGCACCCTTCCACAAACTCGGGTCTTGGTTGAATGGTCGAAAAGCTGGATCATATTCGTCGGGAGTGATTTCAAATTGCTTTGCTGCTTCTTCGTATGCCTGCTTACGAACTTTCCAAACCTATTCGCCCGATATTGTTTTAGTACCGAGGCCGGAACAAAGAGGGGGGGATATGTGATGATGGCACGCACCTTGTGGACCCATCTATCTGTTAATGGAAGAGAGCTGTAGTCAGGCTCTCCGTCCGCCATATTCACGACTGGACAGTTACGATCGACCGTCGGCGATACCGGTGTGTTATGTGCTTTGCGATTAGGGGTGGGTTGAGTCGACTTCCTTCGGGCGCGACGATGCGATAAAGTCGAGGCTACTCTCTTGATTAGTTTTGGTAGAACTGGCACCTTGAGGAGACGAAGACGCATTTTGAGTGTAGAGGTTGCGAGAAGCGTGGCGAGACAAAGAGTTTAGGATGGAGTTGAGAGAAGATCAATGCGTCTTCCTCATCTCTTGTTCCCCGTTTCTCGTCCACCGTGCTCCGTCCCTGGCCCCCAGTTCCTCACCTCAGGCTCCAAGTTCTTCGCGAAAGCAGCTGCTAACAACAGATTTATTGCTGTTATTGTAATTGAGGCGCTTAGGAATTCGTAGGGCATGTGGGAAAAGGAGCGGGTGAATGTCTTATGTAGAGACGTACAGAATTTGTAGGCCTCGGGTCATGGGCCAGGGGAACACGAATGGTTATAATGAAGAGGCAGAAAGATTAGACATACATTGTTTTCATGGGATAAGCTTTAGAGTTGAGCCAATCAATATAGGTATTTAATATATTAAGCTCTATGTTTACTCTTTCCCACGGTTCACCTGGTGGAAACTTCAAAGACTTGGATGATTTTGCGGGGAGCAATCTTAAAAAAATGTATGTTTTGTTGAGGCGATACACAGTATATCGGGTATCGGGTATAAGGTACGTAACGGTAAAGGTGGCGCTTGCTTTATTTGAAGTTTGGCCCTCTTACTGTTTAATGAGAGAGGTATATTAGAGAGATCGGACTGTAGAGCGTGGGATTTCGAACGTTGTAGGGCGCAAAATTGGGACATGCGTCTTTGAAGTTGACGATGACGATAGAAGGTTGTTGCTTGTCAATTTATTATTATTCTACATACGGGCAATCGATGTCTTAGGTTATGTATATAAGTATACATTTATGTATCTACCCGATAGTTTATTGGCCGGATACAAAAATAAATACTGGGGTACCGCGCTTGACCTGTTGACGTAGCGCTTCCTGGTGCTATTAGATCGGGCTAAGGTTGTCATCGGGGCAACTACCTAGTATTTATTTGCATACACGTAAGTATCTCATAAACAAGTCATTTTGGCGCCGGTATTTGTATAGTCATACCCTTATAATAATTATCCTATTTAGTCATAATTTCCAACATGAACTCTGGACAGTAAATAGAAACAACATTTAGATTCAATTATTTCGTTTTTACAAGTTGAGTATTTACGTATCTAGTTAAGGTTAATCATGAGGTATCTTTAAGCGAAGCTATTGCTGTAGATTTTATGTCTAAGGTTGTCGCATTGCATAGTACTTGCATAGTACGCCTTGTCGATAAATAGACATACCTAGGCATATTTATGTACCTAGGTATGTAGGTAAAGATCGAGAGGTGTGGCTTGTGCTCCTCTGTTTCCCCGGAGGCCGGGCAAAGCCATGTGGCTTCGCATGTCTTGTCGGGTCTCCATCTCCAATGGGCATGCTTCCCTACACTTCTCTAGAATGTACCTCATATCTACCTCTCGATGTTTGTACATTACCTAAAGGTAGTAATGGTACCTAGGTAGTTAATGCATTACCAGAACACATCAAGAGACAAGTTAATATCTAAGATTGTTGTCTTCCTTATTTTTTCCCCTTCCCATCAAAAGGTCTTAGAAGCGACAAATTGACGATCGTACCTTTTCCTTCACCATTCCGACATGTTGCCCCGAACGTAGACGAACGTATCTACTTGATTGAATCTGGATTTCCTCCCTTTTACGCATTTTTAGCGACAGCTTCAATTATATTTCTTCTCCCCGGCGCAACCCTAAATTATGATCCAACCAAGTCTCGGCCTATAACTTCCTATTAAACGTTTCGATCCGCCAACCCGCCAACCGACCGACTTACCTAACTTCTATACCTACGTCAATACCTACATCGCCTTTTCCCCTACGCTATACTCTGCCTGGTTGACTTTTCTACTGGTTCTCCCTCGCGGGTTGCCAGCAGTTCGTCCACTGTTTGGCCCTCGTGTCGTTTCTACTTTTGGTACAAAGCTTCATTCAATTTGGCCTAGGAACCCTTTCCGACGTCTCTTGTTCCCTGGTAACAAGCATAAACAAGGCTTTGGTGGTACATTATTGTCGTCTATACGCCTTTGTGTGAGATTATCTTCTGAGACTCCGACGCATTGTGTGCGGGCAACTACACTCTTTGTTGCCTCCTCGTTCTCTTGACTGCTACTTATAGCCCTTCTGAGGTTATATTGACTACCCGCAACCTCTCTAAAGCATAGAACTTTCATACTTTTCCATTACTACGTCCATGAGCAGCCTCGCGCGGTGAACTGGACAAAATGAGCCAAATTCTGACCCCTCGACAAGCTGAAGAGCTGTATGTTTTCGACCTCAGGTTTCCCCCACTACTTAGAGGACAATGAGATAATAGATGATGCTAACTTATATCCTAGACATAAGGCCATTATTGCATACCTGTCGTCGAACAACCTGCCTAACACGGCAGCTGCCTTAAGAGAAGAACTGAACCTTGGTGACACATTTGATACTAATACTTCTAAGAAATATGAAGGTCTTTTGGAAAAGAAATGGACTAGCGTTGTGCGATTACAGAAGAAGGTATGGGATATGAAGTCCCCTCTTGTATGCTGCCGCCCCTACTAACATGTCTAGATTATGGAACTAGAGTCGAAAACGGCTACTCTGCAGTCAGAATTGGATAATGCGACACCTACCTCTCTATCTAAGCGGAATCAAGACCCGTCTAGTTGGCTCCCTCGGTCTCCGCCACGTCATACCCTGGAATCTCATAGGGGCCCTATTACCTGCGTCGCCTTCCATCCCGTCTTCTCTTCCTTAGCTACGGGTTCCGAGGACTATACGATAAAAATTTGGGATTGGGAGCTGGGAGAGCAGGAGCGCACAATCAAGGGGCATACAAAAGCAGTGCTGGATGTGGATTTCGGTGGTCCTAGGGGTGGGACCCTTCTGGCGTCGTGCTCGAGTGACCTAACTATCAAGCTGTGGGATCCTTCCGATGAATACAAGAATATTAGAACTTTACCCGGGCATGACCATAGCGTTAGCGCCGTTCGCTTCATCCCGTCAGGTGCAGCGGGTGCGCCAAGTTCTAGCAACCTTCTCGTATCTGCTTCTAGGGATAAGACGTTACGTTTATGGGACGTGACGACGGGCTATTGCGTCAAAACGATACGAGGACATGCAGATTGGGTCAGAGATGTTTGTCCATCACCGGATGGCCGTTATCTTCTATCTGCCGGAAATGATCAGACTGCTCGCCTCTGGGATATTTCGCTTGCTAACCCTGAAAGCAAGCTGACACTCGTCGGCCATGAACATACAGTCGAGTGTTGCACTCTCGCTCCTCCATCAACCTACCAATATCTTGCACCACTTGCTGGATTGAAAAAGCCGCCTCCAGCATCGAGCACTGCGGAGTTTATGGCAACAGGTTCTCGAGACAAGTCGATACGTATTTGGGATGCGAGAGGCAACTGTATTAAGACCCTTCTCGGACACGATAACTGGGTAAGAGCATTGGTATTTCACCCAGGTGGTAAATATCTCCTTAGTGTCTCCGATGACAAGACGTTACGGTGCTGGGATTTGGCCCAGGAAGGAAAAAATGTGAAGACGCTCGTAGATGCGCATGGTCACTTTGTGTCCTGTTTGAGGTGGGCCCCAGGCATTATACGCGAGCCTGTGACAAACGGGTCAGGCGAAGGTCTGAATGGCACATCTCTAAATGGCATTGCAAAAGCCGCGGCTGTTGCCGATGTTCAAATCCGGTGTGTTATTGCAACTGGGTGTGTGGATTGTAAGTTGAGAATTTTTGCCAACTGAAACCACCAACACGGTATGTGACAGGACATGAAAGGATGTGTCGTTCTGGCGTCACTTTGGCGATCTTAGCTTCCGTTAAAGCTCGAGAGCTTTTATGGTCGGAGTAACGAGGTCTCGAAGCCAAAGGTTGGGGCGTGTATCTTCAGATGCTGCCTCGGATATTGTTGCCGTAGAAAACTGCAGACACTACAAACACGCCGTTCTTCGAGGCGGCACGGGAAGATGACTATAAACAAGCTTTAACCCTATGGATCTGGGAGATTAAAGGACGGGGCGGGCGGGCTGGTAGGGAGGGCGAACTTGATGAAGGGAAGAAGTAACGAGATTTGTTGGCGTTGTTAAGTCCAAGGTTGGCGTCATTTTCTGTGGTGCTATTGCATCGTTCAGGCTGATCAATGGTCGCGACAGCACCGTAGATATGGAAGAAAATAGATACCCTATTATTGCATACCGATAAGAGACTTGAATATACGATCTAGCATTGAGCTAGTTTATTCTCATAATTCTCATATTGTTCTCACGTACATAAAAAGTTGAGTTCTTAACCTATAATTCAACTCCTTCTATTTAGAAAAGAGATGTATGTTTCTAAGATTGCCCAACCTCATGAGGCGCATACAGTAAGACAGTGAGTATAGAATACTGTATTTGTACCTACATACCTACTAAACCGCCTACAGAGGTAGTATGCAGCGGGGTCCTAGGCGGGTCGCGCAGCTTTTCGTTATGTACAGTGTGAGATGATGTACCTAAGTGCACGTACCTCAACTTGTACTACCTCCATGTACGGTACCTGGTGTAAACACATGCAAGTATGGGTGACTAACATATAATATCGTGTATCAAGCATTGAAGCAGGCATGCCCGGCCTCCGCAGTTCAAATTCCCCGGCCCAAACCCAAGAAGTGGGAAATTCGAGACTTATCGGCCTAACACTTCTTTCTTACTTACAACTTCCAATCTATTACATACGTATCTTAACCCCATTTTTATCTAGCAGTATACCTAGGTAGGTATGTAGCTTGATCTTTTACTTCTATCTTCTTCTCTTCGTCTAGCCACTTCTCCTGCTTAACTACCTCTTAGAGGTACCTTGCTCAGCCCTTCCCCTCCCCCCCTTCCCCACCAAGCCATTCCCCTTTATTACTTTGACTCTTAACAGCGGATTAAGACGGGGTGGACTCAAGAAATCCAATTACCATACATACCTCCTTACCTTATTTAGCTAAACAACAAGCGCCCGAATCCACAATCGCTGCCTGATCATATCTTTATTTTCTATCCGCATCTGTATCTTGCCTTTGGCATACAGACATCGAAATCTGGATTAGCAGTATTTTGCAATTGGTTTATGTAGTTTAAGGGGTTCCAAGGTGCGAATTAAAAAGTACCGGACCAAAAACCCGACAATCCCATTCCATTTCGACGGATAGAACCGACCGTCGGAAAAAAAAATAATCGAGAAATTTCCTGCTTGACCACACGTGGGAAACCCACATAACCTATACCGGTGACGATATCACAATTCGTTTCGCCCTTATTTTTCCCCCGCGCGAGCCACCAAACTTGGATCCGATCCGACCAGACCCGGGTAAAGGACAGGCTTTCGTATGCCGAATCCCACTCCCTGCATCCGCCGTCTATCTGCACTCGCATTCACTTCGACACACGTACCTCTACTCTCGCCAGTCCGGTGCCGGTGCAGCCCTGCCGGCGCAGTGACATAGGGCGTCGCCCCCATTACGAATCGACATGTTCTGGAGATTTGGCGGTTACGCCAATATCTCGACTATCGATACTATTCTCGATAAGCCTGACTTCCAACTCGAAGATCTGCTTGATGAGAGCGACCTGATCCAGGAGCTGAAACAGCACAACACTAAGCTCATAGAGTATCTACGCGAGTCCAAGGTGCTCGAGAAGCTCCTCGAATATGTTATCACACCGAAGCTTGAACCTGTAGAAGTCCCCGAAGAGGAAGCCAACGAAGATGAGAAGAAAGGCAAGTCTAGGGCCCTATCTTTTGGCCGCCCGCGTGCCTCATCAAGAACAACTAGTGATGGAGCCGAGGAGGATGAGGCTGAGAAGAAGAGGAACAGATATGCTTATGTTGCCGCTGAAGTCCTCTCGTCCGATAATTGGTCCATCTACGAAGCTCTGATGGAAAGCCACCAACTTCTGCGTAACTTTTGGAATTTCCTCAAACATCCGTCTCCCTTAGATCCCCTCCAGGCGAGCTATTTTACTAAGGTTAACGAAGCCTTGTTCGATAAAAAGACGGAGGAAATGCTGGATCTTTTGAAGTCCCTTGACGATGCGGTCCCTAACATGCTACGTCATGTCGACTGTCCTATGATAATGGATCTCCTACTCAAGATCATTAGCCTCGAGAGAATAGAGAATGGCCAAGGTGTAGTTGAGGTGTGTTCAGATATCCAAAGAGATAGCACGGTATATTGCTAACATGAACCCGCTGGAACTAGTGGCTTTACGGTAAAGATGTCATGCCGACGCTGCTCTCATTTCTTGGGCCGGAGCACAGTCCTGCTACGCAGACGTCTGCCGGCGACTTCATCAAGGCCATCATCACTGTCTCCGCCAATGCCTCGCAGAATGAGCAGGCCTGCATTGGTCCGAACGAGCTTACACGCCAGCTAGTATCCAAGCCTTGTGTCCAGAAGCTAATTGGATACATGCTTGATGGTGGGAATCCCCTTACTGTAGGCGTTGGAATTGTCATTGAGGTCATCCGCAAGAACAACTCCGATTATGATCCGGATGTTGGCCCCGATTCGAATGCCTTGCCCTCTAGTCGCGATCCTATTTATCTAGGTACCCTGCTTCGGCTCTTCGCCGACCACGTCCCCGCCTTTATGACAAAAATTCTCAATGCCCCAGCATCTTCCCAAAGGCAGCGGTTAGATTCCACCTTTGGAGAGAAGATCGAGCCTCTTGGTTTTGATCGGTTCAAGACTTGTGAGCTCATGGCTGAACTCCTCCATTGTAGCAATATGGCGCTGCTCAACGAAGTTGGTTCGGAGCAGGTAATCGCGCTTCGAGACGAAGAACGCCAGCGACTACGAGTCGAGGGCCGACTTGCAACAAATCGTGGCGAGGAGGTGCAATCATCGGAGGATCTAACTATGCGCATGCGCCACTCCTCTCCAGATGATGCCCGTCGCCTAGAGATCACAAACGCCTCCGATGACGACGGATTTGAGGAGGTTACTCCATTGAGTGAAATGACGGAGGATACGTCGCATGAGTTTGTCAAAGCCGAGGACGAAATTCCTACCGGACAAGTCTCGTCATTTATGGATAGGGAGGATGACGATTTCGTGGAAGAGCCTCTTAGCTCTCCAAGGTTGAACGTCCATGATAGTAAACTCAATGAGCAACAATTCGAAAATCCCGAGCTCATGGTTGCGCCTCTCTCCCCGAAGAAACCGACCGCTACTCAGAAGTCAGTGCAAGAACAAAGCGATGCTCCCGCAGCCAATCCGCAGCCGTCACAGGTGTCCCAAACAAGCACAGAGCAGCACCAGGTAAAGACAGCAGGTCAAGAGCATAATGATGGGCCTTCTGTGTCAATTGACGTTCAACCACTACAGTTCCGAGATTTACCTAGAGAGTCTCCTGGAAGCAACTCCGAGGCCATAGAAAACTCTACTACCTCGGTAGTTCAGACAGGAGAGAAGTCTGTTGTGAACGATGCGCCTATAGAAAGTGAACTGAATGTAGTTCCTCGCGAGCCTTTACAGCCAGGGTCCGAGAATGCGGGCAGTGTTCCCGCTGTTCAAGCCCATCAACCCGAGTTGGTTCTATCTGAAAATGTAGAACAGCGCCTTGAGCCAGTTGTCGGCGATTACCTCAAAATGCAATTTGTGGAACATCAGGTTGTGCCAACGATACTAGTGAGTGATCTTAAATGATATCGTTCATTCTAGGAAGCTAATTTTGAATAGTCCTTCTTTTTCAAATATCCCTGGAATAACTTTCTTCATAACGTTGTTTATGACATTGTCCAACAAGTGTTTAATGGCCCTATGGATCGCGGCTATAACCCCACTCTGGCAATATCATTATTTGAAGCTGCCGATGTTACCAACGCTATTATTAACGGCCAAAGGTCCAGCGAGCAGTCCCAAGCTCGAAATAAGACTCGGATGGGTTATATGGGTCATCTGACACTTATTGCTGAAGAGGTGGTAAAATTCACGGAGCGGAATCCACCAGAGCTCCTCTCGGAGCTTGTCTTGGATCGAGTCATGAGCCAGGATTGGATTATGTATGTTGAGGGTGCCCTCGCGGAAACAAGGGAAAGGGACAATGCCATCCTTGGGGGAGTTAGGCCCGAAGTTGCTATGAGCAACAGGACGCAGATGGGTGGCAATAGCCTGGGTGGCATGGGATTGTCAAGCTTGGGACTTGGTGGCGCTCAGGGTGGTGGCTCTAACGCGCTTGCTGAAGCTGGGTTAAATGGCACTGGGGGTAGTATGGAAATACAGGATAATGGCAGCGGGAGCAGCATCGGACCTTTCAGCATAAGCTCTGGCTTGCTATCGGGATCCGGCTTCGGCAGTTCAAGCGACGAAGAAGAAGACGAAGCAGAAGATAATGAAGAGGATGTTAATAACGAGGTAAATTGTCCCTGGCGCGATACGATTCTCTTTGGTTTCTTATGATATATCTCACCTCAACAGCCCATGTGCGAAAATGATCATGCTATTGAGTCAAACGCATTTACTAATAGTTGAATAGTTTCGCGCCTACACAGATTCATTGAATGTAGCTTCTTCGGCATCAATGGATCCTCCTTCTGTTCCGCCCCCGCCTCCACCACCGCCGCCACTAAACATTCCTCCATCACGCGCACGTCTACAACTGGCCGCGAGGCTCGCGATGCACCAGAAGAATTCTGGTGGCTCATCGACACAGTCAGGAGGGGTAGAGGGTAATCAGGAATCAGATGAGACCGTGCTCGACAGGGAATCTGAAAGCATCCTCCGCAATCCTTTTGAGGACGACGGAGATGATGACGTAGATGACGAAAGTGACGACGGCCTTGCCGAGGATGATAACAATGCAGAGTCTTGGGGTGCGGGGCCATCTAGAGGGAGCTGGTGGCGAGGAGCTTTGCGACGAGGTAAGGAAAAGTTTGGGGATGGTAGGGATGATTCCGACTCAGAAAAAGATGAGCAAGCTAGAGGGGACGAAGAGGACGAGGAATTTGGGGATTTTGCGATGCCCGAGGTCGACAAAGACGGCAGCAATGAAAAGGGTGGAGTAATCGTAAAGCCACTTCCTGTTCACCCGTCCTCCCAGAGTCAAAAGGCGTCGGCTTTCACTAGCCTCTGGCCGTTCGGGTCGAAGGATAAGGAGAAACAGAAAGTTAAAGACAACGATGTACCGGCAGAGAGTCCGGTGGAGGTTACGGGTGAGATTACGGGCGACGATGGAGAAAAGATCAAGAGCACGCATGAAGCAACTCGAAGAACAAGCATTGAAGACCCCGACGATGAGGAGGTGGTTGTCTAGGAGCCGGCGTCTGAAACGGATGAGGCTCTATACGATGGCTTTGTCAATGTTCCTCATGGCTCAGATGAATGATACCCCGTAATCAATATTGCGAAGATGATGGTCCAATGGAGTCGTGGGCCTTACTTGTACCGCGCGATAAATGGGATATGGCAACGAGGATTATCGGGCGCGTTTGTATTATATGCGGTTCTAGAAATGGCTGTTTGCATGTTTTACGGGTTTCTATCCTGTACAGTAAGTAGTCCGGAATGGTACGAGATTATGGATGATGTTCCGATATGATAAATTTTATGAGAGTACAGTAGATGGAGGAAAGCCCTCGGGTACCGATGCTACGAGCCCACGTTGACTGGACCTTGCTTTTCCAAGTCAGGATTTAAGAACAGATAAAACAATCTTACGATGAATGCCATACAAGTCAAGCTGCTGTTGGCTTGGATGGATTCATTGGCGCAGGCGTGGATGACACGGACTAAGTAGATCGCAACGTGTATTGATATACATAGGTAGGTTAGGTACCTACATCATACCTGGGCGATGAAACCTGGGCGATGAAACCTGGGCGATGAAACCTGGGCGATGATCTCATGGCGTTTTATGAATACGGCGTGGCATTGGGTAGGTAGATGCGTTGATCATAAGGGATATTGAGGTTGATAGAAGCTAAAGAATAACAGTTAGGTAGTTAAGGATTCGCACCTGTTAATGCCTTTCTTTTAAGGATCTGAGGATTTATTCGAAGGAAAACCACTGCGTCGGCCGAGGGAAGATGATTGGTGACGTGAGTAGGAATCAAATCCTTGAAGATTCCGAAAGACCCTTAACCTAGAAAGCTGAGTTCTAGCTTATGTTAATCAACCTAACTGGGATTAGATCTGGCATAGGTTATTCTTATTTTTAGCACAGCTAACATGCCGTGTACAATTGGGGGCCTTTTGACTTTATATCTCTCTGGGAACTCCGGCTTACACCATATTCATTTCTTCATAGTACGTCAGCCCCAGCCTCAAATCGCAGAAGGATTATGTATATATGTATTTCAATTGTTGATCGTAGCTAGGATCTTCCTTACATTCCTTACATGGCCAATATGGCTACCTGCAGAGAGTCTGCCGGATCCCCAACATTTATGTCTTTAGAAGAATCCTATAATCCAATGTTCGCTTCACCCAAAAATGGGTAGCTAAATAGTAATATCATGCCCTTTCATTTCCATATCTTGTATCTTAATCTCTTTTTCTCGCTCTTTTGCCATTTTAATGTCATACCATCTGCGACTTAATAGAGCCTGCGTGAACCCCTAATATAAAAGGCTCTCTTTACTATAGTTAGCAATTCATTTTCAGAAGCGGAACGCATTCGCTGTCTTATGTACTCTTCCTATATTACCTCCCTTCACCTCTAACGATGGCGTACCGGATAGGAGAAAGCTTCTTAATACTGTCTTCGTCCGATTCCTCAGACGAGCTATCTGAACCCCGACCGGAAAGGGTAAATCGCGAGCCCCGTGGCTTGCAAAACAGAGCAAATACCACGCTCAAAAAGAAGAACCTTTTCATTAACACTTCATTTCCCATAAATAAGCCAGATAACCAAAGTAATGCCGGGCAGCTTCTAAGATCTGAGGTGGCTAACGCTTTAGGCATTGACGCGAGGTCTCTTCCTCAGCCGTTCTATGGCTTGATACAGGATTATGACGACTCTAGCTCTGTATATTCCGGTTCGAGTAACATTCAACAGCTTCTGGATGGATCTAAGCCAGCGGGAAGAGAAGATTATGTAGGCTCAGTCTCTGACTATTTACCCCCAGTTGATACTGCCGAATGGAGGAAGTCAATGGGCGACTTGGTCGAAAAACGCCTTAGTGCTGCTATGACCAACATCCTCGGGGTTGAAGGTGGATCCATGCCTCTAGATGAATCGTTCCTAGATCTTGGGGGCAACTGCCGGAAGGCTAGAGAGCTTCGAACGGAGTGTATGGACGCTGGTCTAGCTATTAAGACAAGGGATATCATGAACTGCAAGACTATCGCCGAGCTTGAGACGCGTATAACGCCGCTTGTCCCACGTAAACTTTCGAAAAGAACGACCCAACCCACGACTGTTAGTCTAATCGAACCGGAGTCGCTAGAGATTCAATCGAACAGATATCAATATCAAATACCAGAATATTCTCAACCTCCAGCGATCCCACCCAAGGCGGCGGCTAGATACTCCCTCGTCCAACCACAGCTAAGACATACAATATCCAGGAGACGTTATTCTAGAGTTGAGGAAATTATCTATCAACATGGTGATGTCTCGAAGGCTTCCATGCTCAAATCAAAAGCTGGACCATTTGAGGGCAGACTCGTGGCATTTGTCACACTGACAGGCTGTGTGGTGGACGGGCCAGATGACTGCGAAATTAAACTACAGAGCTCTTATTATACCACCAAGCTACCATCTATTAGAAAAGTAGTCGAGTCCCAGGTACCGCCAGGTCTTATTCCTAGCATCTGGATCGTGTTAGAAAAGATGCCCTTAGACAATTCGGGTAATATTAACCGGAGAAAGCTACAAACATGGATTCAAAACGCCAATGACGAGATATATCATCAAGTTTTGTCCATCGACTCAAGGGCGAGTTTAAGACGGCCCACAAGTGTAATTGAAAGGCGCCTCCAAAAGACGGCAAGTAGAGTGCTGCAGATGGATCAAACTGGCATAGGCATGAATATGTCGTTCGCAAGCCTGGGTGGCGATGAGAAAGCTGCAAGAAAGTTTGCGTCTAAATGCGAATCTCAGGGTATTCGCCTGGATACAGAAGATATCATGCAAGCGACTTCATTAACCCAACTTGCTGCCCTCGCAACAACGTCAAGTAAGTCGCATTCGCGTAATATAGACGGTATTTCGGTAGATACCTTCGAACTCTCACCTATGCAACGTTTATATTTTCATACCTCAATGAGTAGGGACGTTTACCAACGAGAAGCTAGGAACAGCGAGTACAGGTTCAACCAGAGTATATTATTTCGACTTAAGCGAGTTATAAGCATTGAAGACGTGACGGCAGCGGTAGAGACTGTAGTCGGCCATCATTCTATGCTTAGATGTCGGTTTCGACGTAGCGGAAGTTCCTGGTGTCAGTCGATAGAATCGGATATCTCATCTTCATATCATTTTACACACCATACAGTTACGACGGATGCCGAAGTTGAAAAAGTGGTCAGAGTCGCCCAAGAGACGATCGATATCGAGACAGGCCCTGTCTTTGCTGCCCACCATTTCCACACCCGCGACGGTCGTCAGATGCTCTACATGGTTGCTCACCATCTTGTCATCGATTCAAAGTCGTGGCGCGTCATAACAGATGACTTGGAGGGGTTACTTACCAAGGGGTATCTCATATCAGGCCACACCCTCTCCTTTAGGGAATGGACGCTTCACCATAGACATCGCATACGGGAAATGGAACTCCCTTCCGACGTGCCGGTGGGAAATTATAAATACTGGGGAATTGATCCCGCCTCTAACACGTACGGGAATACATTGGCTACCGGATTTACGCTCAGTGCAGATGTCACCTCAGCTCTTGAAGCTAGCTGCCGGGTGCTTCAGGCGGGATCTGTAGACCTTTTGATAGCTGCTCTTATCACTTCCTTTGCGCAGAATTTTCACGACCGTCCACCCCCGACCCTTTGGAACCAAGTAAATGAAAGGTCCGTATTAGGCACGGGGCGAAATGTGTCGGAGACTGTGGGATGGTTCACCTCGCTCTGCCCGGTAGTTATCGACGCTTCTCCAGCGGACACCATTTCGACTATACTCGGCCGAGTCCAGAGTTCAAAACACGCTACCGCTGACAAAGGCGCCTTGAACTTTACTAAGAATCTAATAGATAGTGCCTCTGCCCTTTCATTTGTTTCCTCCTACTGTCCTCTCGAGCTCATGTTTACTTATGCTGGGACAACGCAAAACGTACAAAGTCAAAACACCGTATTAGAACAGCTTCCTAAGTTAGGTAGGACGCTGGCTCCAAGTATGTTAGATATCGGAAGCGATGTCGGACGTCTCGCCGTATTCGAGGTTTCAATATCAGTCGAGGGAGGTCAAACCAATGTCAACATTCTTTATCATAAAAGTTCCGCACATCAAGAGAAGATACATAGTTGGATTTATGGTTACGAAAAGATACTCCGCCAAGCTACAGAACGGCTACAGTATGAGAGTTCCGGGCTATCTTCATCTGACGTTCTTCACATAGACATCACTGATGAGGAGCTTAACCGACTAAATACGACAATCCTACCACGCCTCAATCTAAATATTTCCAACATCGAGGCTATTTATCCCGCAACAGAAATTCAGCAGGATATTATTATAAACCAGGCCTTGGTACCAGGGAGCTCTAAAGCGTTGATGATTTGCGATCTAGCGACGTCTGATCGGCCTGTTGACATTTCGCGCATATGTGCTGCTTGGCTTCAAGTAGCATCAAAACACTCTGCTCTAAGAACTGTCTTCTCTCAAAGCGCCTCAAACAATAGCCTGTACGACCAGATAGTTTTGAGATCTCATTCACCTACCATGCTTTTCCTTGAAAACGACAACATCGAGGATGCAATGACATCTATTGACAACCTGCCCCCTTTATCATTAAATGAAAGTATTCCCTGGCATAGGCTCATTGTATGCCAAGTAGTTGGAAAGATTTTCTTAAAGTTAGAAGCTAGCCAAGCAATATGCGACGTATGTTCTTTACCTCCTTATAACTTTTACCAATTACTGATTACGAGTCAAGGTTGCCAGCATGCCCATTCTCTTCAAAGAAATCGAGCAAGCCTACTTCCATGACCGAATCCCTCCTGGGCTCGAAGCATCTTATCCTCAATATGCGCAATACTTAAAGACAACTTCTTCCAATATTGACTTTTGGAAGGGATATTTGGAGGGTGTCCAGCCGTGCTCATTCCCCATACTTGTATCACAAACTCATATCCTCAGCGAGTGGGAGACTACGTCTATTGATCTTAACATTCCATGCAAGAGGCTAAAAGCTCTTGCTAACGAGTACAGTATAGATATCTCTGCCATACTTACAGTTGCCTGGGGTTTACTGTTACGAAATTATACTGGGAAAGACAGTGTTTGTTTCGGGCATCGCATTGCCGGTAGATGTTTCCCTGTCGAGAACTTGAGGAATACTGTTGGTTCATTTTCAACTGTTTTGGCATCCAAGCTCGAAATCCGCGATAAAGAATTCGTCACACAGCTATTGCTGAACGCGGAAAAGGATCGTATAAAAACACTTAATCATCAGAATGTACCCTTAAGTAGGGTTGAGCATGAACTACAGATCAGAGGTGGCCGCCTATTCAACACCTACCTTTCGTTCGGATATGAATGCATCTCACATGAGACTTCTACAAGTTTGAGATGCCAACACATCAGGACCGAGCAAGTCTCAGAGTATGATGTTGGTGTTGATGTATATTTCCACGATGGAAATATGACAGTCGACGTTGGACACCGCATACTCAACTCCGATCAAGCAATTACCATAGCATGTGCCTTTGGAAGGGCTATTGAAGCTATCTTGGACTCACCAACTAGTATAGTTCAGGAGGTAGATCTGTTCAGTATGCGAGATCATGAGCAAATCCTAGCATGGAATAGCATGCCTCAAGCCGACATACCTAAGGGACATGTGCACGACTTAGTTGCGCACCAAGCTTCGTTAAATCCTGAAATTCAAGCCATCTGTGCGTGGGATGGGGACTTATCTTATGGCGACCTACATGATTTGTCTATGGTCCTTGCTAAACATATCTTAGCTTCTGGACTGAAGCGGCAGATGCCCGTACCAGTGGTCATGGACAAGAGTCGTTGGGCTGTGGTGGCTATGCTAGCGGTACTCTAGTAAGTTGATATCTTGTCAAGTTAAACCGTATACTGACCGGTCTAGCGCTGGCGCAATTTTGGTACCTATTGACGTTGAGATCCCCTCAATTATTCCTTGGTCGGTCCAAGAAGTCAGCGCCGATTTCGTGCTCTGCTCTGCCAGTGCTCGGAAACATGTCAATGGTCTTGGGGCAAATGTCATCGTTGTGGACGAAAACGCGGTCCTAGCCATGTCGGCGCAAGCTGTTGATATGAACCTTCTTCATCATGAGCCCTATGAAATAGCGTGCATTCTCTTCAGCGCCGGGTCCCTTGGGACCTTCAAGGGCATCTCATATAGCCACCGGTCTTTAGCAGCTGCTTGTGTCGGGCAGGGTTCTACGCTACTAATCAACCCATCCAGTAGGGTCATGCAGCTTTCTTCGTATAACGTCGATATCGCGCTTTCGGAAATATTCACCACCTTAGTTAACGGAGGCTGTGTCTGTATCCCTTCAGCCTCAGAGAGGATTACGGACTTTTCCGAAGCTGCTATGCGCATGCATGTTAACTGGACATATTTGACGCCGACATTGTCAAGGAAATTAGATCCAGAAAACCTGCCGGACCTTTCTATCGTCTGTATTCGTGCACAGCACCTCGACGATGATATCTATGCACCATGGATTGGCAAAGCTAAGGTATTGATGGCGTATGGTTCTCCTGAAGCTGGTCCCCTTGCACTTTCTGTCACCGAAGTGGCTGATCCTAAGGCTTCGCAATGCTTCGGTAATCCATTCTACGGAAACTTCTGGATAGTGAGCCCCGAAGATAGTAACCGGCTCATGCCAGTGGGCGCCCTTGGTGAGCTAATAATAGGGGGGCCGACACTTGCTACCAGTCTGGATATCCATGAACCTGATATCAAGACCTGGATTAAAGAGGGTGTAGTTTGTCCAATGTCGCTACTGGAAAAATCGGAGAGTCGCCTACTTAAGACTGGACATTACGCCCGATATCTCGAAGATGGTAGGATTGAGTTCGCCTCAGAAGATGGTGGAGAAGTAGAAATTGACGGTAAAATTTTTCGTCTCTCGGTTGTCGAGCTAAAACTTCGGCAATGCCTAGGTCGGGGTATCGATGTAGTGGTTGAAATGATTGCCTTTGATGACCCTAACTCGGACCCAATCCTAGCTGCATTTGTCGATTTCGGAGAAAATGCACTGAGAAGGGACGAGAGCTTGTCAAACCTCAATCGTACTACAAAGGAGAGATTATACCTTTTTAAGAAGATAGGTAATATGGCGCTCCGAGAGACTCTGCCTAGTTATATGATGCCCTCGGCGTATATACCTGTTAAGCGTATGCCTCTAACACCGACGTTAGAGGTCAACAGGATAGAACTCCAACGAATGATTGCAGGTTCACCCAGGAAACAACTTCTCGAGATAGCAGAAGTCTCGAATCCTCAGGAGCTCCAGGATTTAAGCTTCAAGCCCCTCCCCCTAACCGAAGTTGAGCACCGAATGCGGGTTATATGGGCTCAAGTACTCGGTGTCGAAGAAGATACAATTACGGCTAGAGATGGATTTTTGACCCTAGGCGGTGATATTGTTTTAGCCCATGAACTAATCAGAGAATGCAAGCAATGTGGAGTTGATATTTCTATTATTGATGTCCTTCGAAACACCCCCCTAGCTGAAATATGTAGGGGAGGTGTTACTTTAGAGATATATCCCACAGCCATTCAAGGGGTCTTTGAACCGACGCAATCAAACCACTCAAATTCTCCCATCAGCAAAGCAATTGCGTCACGGCTTGGACTTGCTGGCAGTTTGGTTGAGGATGCAACCGAGGCGTCATCGTTACAAGCAATGTTCATTGAGTCCGGGATGCTACAGACTCGTGCCACTGTCGATTACTTGGAGATCAACATCACCGGATCTCTAGACTGGCATAAACTTCAAGATGCGTGTTTCATGTTAACCAACACTCATCCCATACTCAGAACCTCGTTTGCCAGCCATAGTCGTCAACTCTACCAGACCGTCTATCGGTCGCATCGTCCGGGATTTCTAAGATACCAGTGCCAGAGCTGGAGACTCAGCAACCTGATCGCGAAGCTCATCAAGAGGGAGCAAGCACAACTTGTTGATTTCAGCCAGCCCGTCACCAAGTTTTTCTACTTCGACGCTGGAAAGAGCTCTGTCCTCATCATGCGACTCTCTAAAGCTCAGTATGATGAACTTTCCTTACCCGTGCTTATTCGAGACTTAACCCAGTTTTACAATCACAGCGATCGGCCTGGCCGACGTCCTGGTTTCTGCGAAGTGGTCAGAGCTTCTCATCGTGCGTACACAAATGATACATATGAATACTGGCGTACCCTACTTGAAGGCGCAGCAGTGACGCAAATAATATCACAACCCTCGCCTACGAAAATCAACTTAAATCACACGACTCTACACCGAAAAATCCCTAATAGGTCACTACATAGCTTAGGTATATCATTTGAGACCATCCTTAAAGGCGCCTGGTCAGTTGTCCTTTCGAACCTGTCTGCCACGAATGATGTTGTTTTCGGGCAGCTCGTGGACGGGAGGAACCTCAGCCTTCCGAATAAACAAAGCATCTCGGATGTCATCGGTCCTTTAGGTAATATTTTACCTGTTCGAACACGATTACCAGATATTCCAATCGCATCGTATGAATATTTCCGTTGTATTCAAAGCCAGCATGTTGCTAGCATGTCACAAAATATGCAATTCTCCGACATTATACAAAAGGCTACTTCCTGGCCATCTTGGACTCGTTTCAGCACCGTCATCTACCATAAAAATCAAAGCAAGGATGACGGGATGATCGAATTTGCTGTTGGAGGCGCTACGTGTAAACTAAATTGTATAGAGATGAACCACGCGCCATCAGACATCTTTGTCAAATCATACATCTCAGGGTCTGCTAACGTTGATATATCCCTTACATTCAGCGAAAAGATAGCCCTCTCATTTGCAGATGAAGTCTTGGGTATGCTTTGTTCGGTTATCTCGCTTCTCACATCTACCTTCGTGACGGAGCCATTGTATTTAAAAGGCCTCGGCAATAATCGCTCAACGTTGAGAATTCCCCTCCAAGCGCCTAGACGAGAACCTAGTATACCTCAGACTGTCGAGTCTGTCGAGCCCGATCTTGCTCGGGCCGTCCACACCATCATATCGTCCGCGTGGGACACTATTCTTGAGGCTTATTCACTAAAGTTTCCTGATATACGCTCAGTCCCCTTCTACGAAATTTGGGGCTCACTAATTCCTGCCTCTGAGCTCGCCAAGTACTATACCGATAACATACCCTCTGATCTTGGTGTCGAACGGGCCACTTTCACGGAAGAAGAGATTATTAATCACCCGACGATGATGCAACAATACGAACTAATCATTGCGAAGCACCGAACACTGTGTTCCAGACGCAATAGGAATACCATGTTAGTTCGCACGCAGTCGGTTTGGGGCAGAAGTATACGCAGGCTACCTCGCGTCAGCGTCGCGCCAAGTGCTTCTGCTCCAAGGAGTAACCACAGGCCAATGGGTAGCAGCACTTCTATGGAGTCCATGACGACGGGGAGTAGCCTGAGCGATGACGATGAGCTGAAGGAGTATGAGATTACTCCAAGTCGCAGCGTCCATGAGGCAAGAAGAAATATTCTGGAGGGGAAGCACTCCAAGGCAACAAAGAAGGGACCCTCACTTCTTGGAAAAATGATACCTAAAATCTCAGGTTAAATTTCTACTTTTTCTTCGTTCAAGGGGAACCAAAGTCTCTGGTTGATTATTTAGACTGCATTATAGAATATACAGTTATTTGCGTTGGTGGTGTTTAGGTTCTGAGATGACTACTAACGAGAACAATATTTTGATATAAAATTCTTTATTAATGTCCATGCAAGATTGAACTAATAACTAGGTAGATAGCGTGGCCATAAAGTCTCCCGATTTCTAACAATAAACAACAATATTAAAGTGATACAGTCACCTTCAATCACCTAGTTACTCTAATATACCTTTGATAAACTTCTAACATTAGAATGCTTGTAATGATTCTATATGATTCTAACCAACCCTATTTGACTAAACCTACCAATTGTTCGATAGATCCGGCTGACCCAGATTCTCATAAACCTATCTAAACTACCAAAAATCCTCCCTTATGAACCTTCCATTTCTAATAGTATAGTATAAGGGGACCTGCCGATATATTTTCTGTTGGCAAATTTCCTCTGCCATCCTACAGCTTTTGCAAGTAATGCAGGTATCGTAGTTCAAGACAACATCTCGTTGCTGTTTAACCTTCACACAACTCCCTATCGCGGCTTTAGCACACGACCTCAAGACTACTCGATGATCAAACTCATGTTGACATTCATAGCAATGATACCATTCTATATGTCTCACACACATTCTCAACCTTAGAGATGTACTGACTGGTCACTTATAGCGTGATAATGCAAGTTATATTAGCAAGTGACGGAAGTGGCTGATAAGTGAGCGAAGGATACCGGTACTGACCACATATATTTCGTGGAGGCAACGGAATGTTATAACATTTTAGACTCCTTTCTGCAACAAAACCATTGTAACAAATTATATCAAGCTGGGAAGAAAGATACTAAACTAGGTACTTACGATGAAATCGTTTTATCCTTTGTTTTAGTCACTTTATTGTGTAACTGGGTACAATGGCCGTTCATAGATGTATATACAGTTTTCACCCATTGTACTATCGCTTGCCTAACTTAGGTACTTAAGGGGGGAAATTAGCAAACCAACGCCTGTTGGCCCAACCCACTAAATATTCGTGTCAAACATCAAGAGTACAATATAGGCAGTTTACCCTTAAACGAAACCCAAAGATTAATGTAGTAGGTTGGGTTATAGGTGCCCCTACTGAGATAATGTTCCATACTTTCGTTTTCATCACAAGGAAATCTAGTTTGGGGAGTCTTTAGAGAGTTGTATTTCCAACCCGACAGAGAGTTAATGGCGTACCACACTTCTACTACTGATAAACATGAGTACCTGTAGAGGGAACTTTTCTTTATTAAGTTACGTATAATATATGGATTCGTCTAAGTTTAAATTCCCTTTGTTTAGAAATAAATTCTACAACCTATCCAAACAAAGGCCCTTTGTTCGATGAGTTGATACTTTTGCATCATTATACACCTACTTCGTGTGGCCCTAAGACTGTCTCGAAGTGTTGTATGGACCTTTTTGTGAAAACCGTGATCGACAATAACGGCCGGGGAAAAAGAATATCTAGACTGCTACATTAAAGCGCCCCTTAATTTATTTAATAATATAGGTTCTTAACTGATGAATCCGAATGTATCTCTCTAAGCCCCTGCCCTCCCATAGCCGACATCACCAATTGCCACCACTTATTGAGAAGGAGACGGGAGAGGTTATCAGAGACAACTATGGCTGGCTCGCTCTCGCGAAAGAGAACATTCGACGGGAACTTGAGGCGTCAAAAATGGAGCTCGAACTCGTCAGAGACTTACTAAGCGAGTTGGAAGTTGGCTCCAAGATAACGCGATCCAACTGCGGAGCTAGGGACGAGGTGTTTCTCATGAGGGCTTGCCAAGAATATTCCGGCTCGAGATCTTGTATGCTTGAAGAAAGACTACGACAGATCAATTTATGGTTGAGCGATGTACGTATAGGTCGAGATGTTCCCTATAGAGTGCCAGATGAGTATGTCGCATCCAACGAAATTATCTTGATAGAGGAAACCTCCCCGTTAGATGATTATATCAAGGAGAATATCTTTGCTCTAAGTCACGCTTTTTGCATTTCTCTACTTTATGCGATTCAAACGTCTATATCTACTAATGGTATTTATATAGATGGAGTATGGTTGATGCTGAATGGCGACGATGGTTAAGCGAACAAGTGGCGCCACGGGATAGGGATAGTGTGTCCGACCGACCTGTTGTTATGTCTCACCAGAGTGATGCCGTGAAACTTTGGGGGCCTCTGATTCCCATCCTTACAGCATATATCGAGTAGAATAACTCGTGGAAAAGATAATAAGGACTGAGCTAATCTCGCAGGGGGATATTGCTGATGTCTTACTGTTCGAATTCAAGGGCGTTATCAAAATGAGAGTCTAGGTTGAACGGTCTGGAAACTAGGCAAATTAGAAAGGGTAAGATGCCGAGGAATGCTCGGCGTCTACTTCAGACTATATTATAATTGATATTATGATTGGATTATTAGTATATGATAGCGCGCGTGTAAGAGAGGTGCCCATATAGCTTCTAACCTAGGGATGTTTCTTCCGCGACATTCGAGGAGGCTCTTCTTATATGTATTAATCACCATTCACACCATAGTACGTCTGGTCATCAATGTACCTCATTTACGTGCGTAGCAATTGCATTCTTCTCGCTCAAAAATGAATGAGAATACGTAACTTATTGGCGTAGATATAGTCTCCTAGGATATCCTCTTTTCTGCCTTTTGCCTTGAGTACGACGATACACTGTGCCCTTTTATCGATACGTTCCAGCTGAAAGGATTCAAGAAGTATCACTGACTTTAGACTTCTAAGTGGCGGCCGGTTCGCAGTAACTGTCGTGTGACCATGTATGTAATTGCAAGTCTTGAGGATTTGAAGCGGCTGAGTGGCTTTAACCTTATCGAAACCTCGAAAGGCCTACCTACCTATTTCCTGAAGCGCTTTAAATGAGGCTCTTACAAGCCAGAAATATCCCAAGTCCGTGGGCAATATCACTACGGTATCTGCCATGTTTGCTGCTCAGTTCGCAACCATTATGCATACATAGTAACTGACCCCGGCTTTTCAGCTCCATGGATCATATGGCGGATCAATGTAATATGTCATATGTATGTAAACTGTATCCTTGGCGGCGGTGCTTGGGTCGTATGTAATTGTAGTAGTATATGAGGTACATACCTCTCCGCATCCTCCACACTGCACGAAGCTCTACCCACGGTGATGGCCAATGACTGCTAATACTGTTACGTACGAGAAATAGCGGAACGTAAATAGCCAGCCAATACAAAAGTAGACTGTAATCTGTTCCTTTTGTTTGGATCCTCTTCGCCTTCCTCGATAGAATTATCCTGGTAGGCCCACTAGACCCCTCTCTCATAGTGTACATACATAGTGTATGTAGATGGCCAGATGGCCTACCAGGGAGGAACAGGGGCAATTAAGGGTCGTCACCCCGCGAGCCACACCGAATCCTTTTGGGGCATGCTCCCGCAATATCGGACTCTAGATCACTACGCCGTACGTACCTAATGTACGTGCCCCCCGGGAGGAATATGAAGGGCCAACTGCACTTGGAGCTTTATTTAAGGGTGGCCAACCCGGAGCTGACCGAGACAAGAGAACGCCTTAGCGTCTGTAAAAACCGTATAAAAACTATGTAATAGGTATCTTATGACTCTCTAGCAGGATTCTCTTATCGTAATGGATGAAATGGAGGGGATTCGGGGGAGTAAGGTTTCCTTGCCCAATCATATGTAGAAGCGAACAGGATTGGCGATGGGAATACATACATATGTGTGAGGTGCGAGAAGCAGCTGGGTCAATAACTTGGGCAGTGATCAATGGTATTATTTGGAGATTTTAGTGGACTGGTGCAATACTGGCGCGTGGCCGACCCAGTCTGAATGGCGTCTTGTGAGATTGGCGAGCAGTACAATGACTAATAGGTATTTTTATTGACGAATTGTTCTGGAATAATACTACGTTACCTACGAAGTAGTACTATATAAGGTAGTATTACTTTGTTTGATCGTCTAGTTTTACTGTCGAATATCAGTTATTCCGGATTATACGTGATAGAACGTAGGAATATACCCAAATGGCTCTAGATGTATTTAGAGTAGCCTGAAGCGCCGCCATCACCTTGATGTTGGCCAAATAATCTTGACGCTGCGACGCTAGTACACGAATCGTGCGAACTAATGCGTTTGGCCATCACATGCTCGAGGTAGGTAGACGAATGCTTCTAGAAACGTTCTGTGCGTATGTATTGGCATCTGCCTTTTGATTCGTAGTCTCTACTATATGCATATGCCCAGCAACGTGCGTGTTTGCTTTCTCTAGAATCTATCTGGAAGGTATATTTTATATTATTTTATATGATTCTATTATAATTATATAATTATCTTATAACTACTATAAAGTTGAAATTTCTCCCATCTACAGCCGTCTCATTTAGTATTCAAATTATTACGAAAGGATCTGGGGTCCAGAGAGCTGATCGACCGATCCGGCGGTCCGCAGGAGCTGTGAGCACTTACTGATCAGCACTCGGACAGATGCGAGACATCATTGGAGAAATCCGCAGGGGAGAATTACTCCAATCCATGGTTCTCCGACACCTCTATTGTCTTAGGTCGAGTCATTTGCTTCTCCCATTCGCTTTTTTATGTCATGTAGCGTCTAATTAGGAGCGTTGATGAGCAGGCGAGGCAGATTTTAAGAAAATTTCCTTTGTAACTAGCATTTTTCTTTGTTCACTTGTGTCTTCTTTTTTTTTGTCTGACCCTTATGATGTACATACTTAACATGTCCGTACGCATAAATCTCCAACGCAATGTATAAATAAGTGATATTAGTCCAGATAGGTCGGATAGGCCGTTTGTTTATTGGCATCGTCGGAGCCTAGGCTTTACCAAGAGCCTGGGCACCGGAAAAATTACTGCATATCGCGTGTTATAAGCAAGTTGTACTACTAATACGATACCGGGAAGAGAAGGTCAAGCTTCTGTCGCGGGGGCTAGTATAAAGTACCTAAGATAGGGCGGTGTGTCGAATGAACTGGCTACCTGTCTACTACTATATCTGCACCTATGGTAAATTTCAGCTTTTGATAGTCAGCGACATACCATTCTCATTCCACATGATGAGTCGTCTCTCAGCCTTAGTCGTATCAAGTCCATAATCACAGTAACTAGGTAGGTAACCTCATAATAATATATCATGTGGCGCAGCATAGGTAATCCGGAAAATGGAGGAGTTCTTGGTCTTTCCCTTCTGAACCAACCAAAGAGTATTGATGATTTGATTCTTATCTGTGCAAACTGGCAAACGGGGACAAACCCACAAGGTACCCTGGCAGCCCGCCTCTATTATGCTTAAGGACGTTTGATGAATTCAAGCGGTTAGATAGTAATAGGTCTAGCGTATCGTTTAGAATAGTTATATTCCCCGTTCCCCAGAACTTTAGATAACCTGCCCGTTCGCCAAGCCAACGTAAACATACTGTGCAAGTTTAAATCAAAACTACCTCTTAGTCTATCTACTAAAAGTGATTCGGCCGCGATCGAGTTCTTGGCAATCTGGAGAACCTCCCCAAGCTATCGTCAATGAGGAAGCTGTGCCATTGCTACCATACAGCCATGGTATAAGTCTAGAAGCCAGCTGCTGATGGAAATTTACGAGAACGATGAAATATCTAAGTGTTTTGGAATTATCTTATAGGTAGGTCGAGCTGAGGTCTAACGCGTAAACGAGCATCGGTCAATGTACAACCTAAGAATCCTTTTCGGCCCGGAGGCAAGGGATGTGGACTTGGACAGGGGAAGAAATGCTTAGGAGCTGATAACGGAGATAAGCTCGAGTCGACTAGAGGAAAAGTTCCCCTCAGTTTTTAATTATCTTCTTCTGTTTCACGTAACTATCGTCGTAACCAAGTTTATCTTAGATGACGCTATTAGCGGGTTCATAGATCGACGTGATCTAAGGCTATATACTTACATATATCGGTACCTTATATGAGGTATGTTTGTGTTTTTATAAGAGGCAGGTTATGTATGTATCTAGGGTATCTACATGCACGCTTGCATATGTACAAGCCAACTGGCTGGATGAGCATGATCGCGACCGTGTTTACCCCAGCTGTCTGGGAGGTGTGGACATGGCAGGTTTTGGCTGACTGGGTTCGGGTGGCCGAGATGGATGCTACACATCACACGAGTCGTCAGATTGCTTTCACCAAACAGTATCCATGGCCTAGATTTTTATTAGACCCTAACGGTCTTTAGTTTTATTCGAGAACACCCTAGATTCAAGTTATCAAACCCAATCTCTCGTTATACGGAACATATACTCGTAGTGTACATAGCTAAGGCTTACATAGGTCAGGTAAACATATATCACTATCTCGTAGCACTCTCTGATAGGTATTATTACGACCCTTAATTACTTGCCCACCTCGGTAAAGGCTATTCCTCCTCTCTCATGCGGGTTATCTCTTGTATCGAATCCGTACCTTGCTTCCTTGCAAGATATGTATCTCTAGCTGCTTGGCCACCCAAAAGCTTACCGGGGTCCCCCATTCTGCACGTAGCCTACTGATCCACCAGTCCTATCAAGATCCTTGTTAAAGTAAAATGTAGAACGTAGGTAGAATGTAGAACAAAGAAGAGTACTAGTATACGCTATCCATTGTATCTGCTAAGCTCTGCCATTCAGTACCTATAATAAATAACCCCCAGCAGCGCACTCGTAACTTTACTTACTGTAACATCGTCTCGCTCCTTTCACCTCTGTAATTCAGACTCCTGTCTCTAGCAGCGGCCTTGTGCCCAACTGGATAGTATATTATCGCCTTCCTAGCCGGTTGCCGATTACTAGGACTGACATTTTCTCTCCCTCCTTATCCTTATTCTTCTTATTCCATTTCCTACAGCGCCGCTGTTGTAGTAGCTATTCTCACTGGTCTTTCTGTCGCGCCTGTTAACGAATTCTGTCGTCCGAAATGGTGTCTTCCGACCCTGCTGCCAGCAGTGGCAGCAAAGATGAGAAGGATGCCGGCCTCCCGAGCTACTCGAGCCCGGTGATCACACAGGAAGAGGGCGCCCAAAGATCCGACAACTGGGCGACACGCAATGGTCTAAATTTGGACTCCTTCAAGAAGCGTGATTATGGTACCGGAATTGTTGAGCTCGACCGGAGCATGAAACCGCGACATCTGCACATGATTGCTATCGGCGGTTCTATCGGTGCTGGTTTCTTCGTTGGATCGGGTAGTGCCTTAGCCACAGGTGTAAGTCATTGGAATCTCTCCTCAGACACTGCCATTTCGCGCGCTCTTGTCTTAGACGAACGCCAACTCTAACCTCGATGCTATTGGTAGGGCCCCGCGACTCTTCTAATCGATTTTTCTATCATCGGTATAATGATGTTTAATGTCGGTATGTATATATTCACTAAGAGTGATTTCTGTACCCTTTCTAAATGGCTCGAATTAACACCTCATTTTATAGTTTACGCTCTTGGTGAACTCGCTGTTATGTTTCCTATCTCTGGTGGCTTCTACACGTATGCAACTCGCTTTATTGATCCTTCCTGGGGTTTCGCTATGGGATGGAATTACGTCTTACAATGGGCTGTCGTCGTTCCGCTAGAACTCACTGTATGCTCCATCTCGATCTCCTATTGGAACGCGGATATTAGCCCTGGTGTCTGGATTACCGTCTTTTACGTCTTCCTCATCATAGTTAACATCTTTGGAACTCTTGGTTACGCAGAGGAAGAGTTTTGGGCTTCCCTTTTAAAGCTTGGTGCTACTATCGTCTTCATGTTTATTTCACTGGTTTGCGTCCTTGGAGGTGCCCCTGAGGGAAGCCGGTATGACGAATACTATGGCGCACGCCTTTGGTACGACCCTGGTGCATTCCGCCACGGTTTCCGAGGTTTCTGTGCTGTATTCGTCACAGCCGCCTTTTCTTTCAGCGGAACTGAGCTAGTTGGTCTTGCTGCTGCTGAAGCGCGCAATCCCGCAAAGGCCCTTCCTAGTGCCATCAAACAGGTCTTTTGGCGTATCACTCTGTAAGTTCCTCAAGCTGTCCATCACGCCGCCCTTGTACTGGCAGGCCTTTCTAATAGCGGATTGCAGATTCTATATTCTTGGTCTTACTTTCGTTGGTCTTCTAATTCCGAGCGATGACCCCCATCTACTCAACGCCGGTTCGAACGATGTTACAGCGTCGCCCTTCGTGCTGGTTGGGCAATATGCTAACCTCAATGGATTCAACCACTTCATGAACTTTATTATCCTAATCTCGGTTGTTTCCATCGGCGTATCTGGTGTCTACGGTGGAAGCCGCACTTTGACTGCCCTCGCCCAGCAGGGTTATGCCCCTAAGATTTTCTCATACGTCGACCGAGGTGGCCGCCCTACATTCTCCGTCGCTCTTCTTCTCGCTTTCGGTCTTCTCGCATATATCAACTTGGCTGCCGCCGGTCCAGATGTTTTCACTTGGCTGCAGGCCTTGTCTGGTCTCGCAGCTCTCTTTACTTGGGGCTCTATCTGTCTAGCGCATATTCGATTCCGTAAGGCTTGGGCATACCACGGTCACACCCTGGACGAAATCCCATTTAAAGCGATAGGCGGTGTCTATGGATCGTGGCTCGGATTGATCTTAGTTGCCTTAGTATTGATTGCTCAGGTGAGTACCGCCTTTTCTACACAAAGTGGAATGTCTTACTAAATTATTTCTAGTTATTCGTAGCTATTTGCCCCCCCGGAGGTGGCATCAACGATGCTGCGGGATTCTTCGAGCAATATCTTGCGCTTCCCGTCGTGATGCTATTCTGGGTTGTTGGTTATTTATGGAAGCGTACCGGTTGGTTACGTACACACCAGATTGATGTAGACACCGGAAGACGAGAGGTTGACTGGGTTGAGATCAACGCGTTTCGCGAGAAGCTTGCCGCAATGCCTGCGTGGAGGCGTCTACTAGACCTTGTGTTTTAGGTTGCGGCGCTGCGTTGTATATGGGGTTATTCTGTTGGACGTCAGAATGTGGTTACTGGCGCGTGTATAAAGAGATGTAAAATCGAGGAACTTTGCATGATGAATTAGGGTTACTGGGCATAATAAAGATACCAATACGAGTCATAACTAAAGTTATAAGAGGAGATGAAGTTATTTATAAGATTCTCACCACCAGCTTATTCTCACTGTGTTGTGTATCCTTTGAAAATATTTCACCATTGCGCTGTCACGCTCGACAGACCTATACCACCCTATAGTAGGGTTCAAGTAGGGAGGAATGAATCGAAGGGTATTGTCTGGGATTATATATACTTAGTTATTTAAAAAGTGGTATTCTTTGAGTAGACTTCTATCTAAGTTATAAGAGAGTCACGAGGTTAGTTGACACATAACACGGACTAGCTTGTCGTTTGGATGATATAGTAATTGGATCCTATAATAGCGTATTACTATGACACATATAGTTCCCGGTGTGGCTTGCGTAGTCTTGTTATACGGCGCGCTACTGGTCAATACTAACAACCAATATCTTCTGTCAAGGCATAATAGCAAATGTGATTTTTATCATTAACTTAAAGATATTATATTGTTACATAGGTACCTATCGGTTTTTACATGCGATAATAATTAATGCAAAATAGGATACCTAGAACTTGAGAAACGTTCAAACTCGATATTATCTGTTACATATCCTCTGGACGTAGTATACATCACCTTCATTCCTAGGTAAGCAAGTCTTCTTTTACAGCCTCTCTTCACTCGTTTACGTAGGCACCCCTGAGAATCAATAACTTAAAGGGGCACATTCCAATTGGACCAAGCGGATATCAAGCCGCTGCACCTCCTTCCCAAATTAGACGTGGTGTAGTTCAATTCGCTCGCTTAACTGCAAAAAAGATTCCTAGATTATAGATTAATACTTGCCGGCGTTGACGTATTCAAGCCTATACATGGCATCATCATCGTAGGTTATAGGCTAATAAACGAGAAAATGAGTGCCTAATAATATGCCTTTACCTTGATGGCTACCTAGACTTATCGTAGTATATCTGATATGTTATCTTGTTTTAGTCGGTTACAACGTAGGTATAAAAATGTACCTACGGAAGCGTCACATGTACTTACCTCTAGGTAATCAATGACACGCCTGTAGGAATATGATCAACCATAAATCCAACCCGACACAAGCCATTCGGAGGCACCTTTACAGCCGGATACTAAGCATCATATCAGAGTTACCCACATTTTTATAGGTCTTCTATTAACCTATGTTACTCACTTTGGCTTCCAGTAGGTACTTGTGGGGGTATTGCATACGAGAGCGGTAGAGTATCTATGTGCGAGGGACCGACGCTTTCATTATGTATTGTCCGTAATACTTAATAGCTGGGTACCTAGGAAAGTATGTATGTTAGAGACTTTATGAGGTAAGTATATTATACAGCATTCTAGGACAGTACACCTAAATACGGGTTAGATATAACTACACATGTATTTTGTTAAGTCATAATATATGAGAAGGTTGAGTCTCATGGATGGATATCGAAAAGCAACGTTGAGCCCCTGCTAGATGCCAAAGTAAATACCTACCTAAGTACTTATGATACAAGTGATCGGATTTATATAACCAATCAACCTGCGTGTTGGATAATGATATGGTCATTTGAATTACGATTGATAACGTGAAATTCGTGGTCGTCAAAGGGTTTAATAATAGTTAGTCTAAACCTAAGTCTATGATAAATATGGAATGAAACCGTATGCTTTCTAGTGAGAAGAAAACCTTCAACACTTTTCTATTAAGAAATACTTCAGGTCTTCTTTTGGAAATCCTCTGGAAACCCCTTATTATGCATAGCTCAACGACTATGTTCGGGGGTTAAAAAAACCCCGAAGCAGGTTTTGAGCTTCTGGGCATAAAGCCTTGATTAAATATCCTGATCTCACCGTCTTTCTAATTTATATCACTAACTGATATTTCCTAAATTCCGAGGGTTTCCGAAGTATTATAGTGACACCTACCTCTTTTATTAATTGCCATGCCCTTCAATGTGTTGAGGTCAAACTCAACTTGTGGGCAACTTTATTAGCGCCAAGGGATGCGATGATGACATTTATGCTTGATAGCTAGACGGGAGAGAATAGATCAGTATATCGTCTCAACAGTAGCATAATTATTTTGAGGGCATGATGAGATGCCTTAGCCTATTTAACTGGACACTGAGCATTATAAAGATGATACTTCAAGTTAACCAATGTGTACTGATAGCTCCTATAATGATTCGTCTTTCGGTAGCCATAAATTATTAATAATTCCATATGTATTACTGTGCTATTGATACTTAAGGCGTGCTAAGACTAGCCCCTAGACGTAGTAATGGATGTAACTAATTACCCTATACCACTATTGTGAGTCTTCCATGAGATGCAACTTGCATCATAAACTCATCCGCAGGGTTTGATAGGCTACATGCCATCCATATTGGCTAGACTTTTCGTTAAATCGCCCGTGAAGATGACTACTCCGTTGCCATTAAAGGCTAGTAAATTCTTGGAGCCTTTAGGATCCCCGACAACCCCGTCCGTTGCCAGCTCCCGTAGAACATTGACACTGTCGCCCGGGTTTTTCATTCGGTAAGGGATAATGCTCTTTAAATATAGGATGAGGCCAGATACATGAGGCGTAGCCATGCTTGTGCCGTTGAGGGAGATTGTGTCTTGATTGGTTCTAATCCACGCAGACGTGATATCCTCGCCTGGTGAAAAGATATCGACTAGTTCACCCCAGTCGCTGAAAGGGGAGCGTGTGTGATCTCTTCTAATAGATCCGACAGTTACGGCAGATGGCGCAGATGCTGGTGAATAATTTCGGGCGTCATCATTGTAATTACCAGCAGCTACGATTGTTAACACGCCTTGTTTATATGCTTCCTCAACTGCTCGATTAACAGCTTCTCTGGTATTCCCGCCTGCGCTGATATTGATGACTGATACACTCTGACGGTTCTCGGCGGTGATGTTGCGAACAGCCCAATGGATTCCTTCGAGAAGATCCGAAGTATAGGACCTAGCATTCGCGAAGATTTTGACTGAAATAAGCTTTGCTTTTTTGGCGACGCCACTGCAGGATAGTCAGCAATCATATAATTATTACAAACTGGATGTAGCTTGAAATTACTATTTTTTCCCTCCGATAATACCGGCGACGTGCGTCCCATGACCAATATCATCTGCAAATATGCCACCAACAGCGTTGTAACCCAAATAAGCACGATCCTCAAATTCCTCGTGCGTTGTCAGCAACCCAGTGTCAAGTATATATGCGTACGTGCCTTCGCCGGCGTTTGAGTCGTAAACATAGTCCGTATGGTTCGCTATCCGATGAGAGAGGTCAGCTAAGCCCCAGGGAGCGTCTGTCTGTACCGTGTGCTTCATCAGAGAGATTGTGCCATTATCTTCAATCAACTCCACGGCATCATCGCTGCTAATCTGGGTGAGTGTGTCTCCATCCATGGTACAGGAGTAAGCGTTCCAGGATCCAATGTTCCATCGTCTTCCCATTTCTACTACTGGCGAGCTGCTGAGGGCATGTATATTAGCTGCCCGCTGTATATGCTGTTCCACGGCAGAAGCGTCCAATCCATCTCTGAGAGTAACAATATATCGGTTATAGTTGTGATTGGAGTTATCTGCCTCTCGAAAGATAATTGAACGTGCCGAAGCAAAACTCGATATGGCGAAACCTAAAAGTGCTAGCTTTCTAAGACCGATCATGGTAACTCTAGCAAGAAAGGTTGAGCAGCTAAAAGCTAGTCCTAGATAATATTTAATGTTATGTAGAACAGGGTTTGCTCTATAACATAGAAGTCAGCTTAAAATGAGTGATGTTGCTACGAAACTGAACGATCGATACTGGTGAGGAGCTGGTGAAGAGGAGAAGCGAAGGACACGAAATAGCGATAGGGATGAGAGATATAACTGAACATGGACAAGAACAATGGCGCTGGTAGGAGCTTCCTAGAAGGAAAGCTTTATAGGAAAGGGTAAGCCGAAGTTTCGGAGGCTGGTGGCTTCCGTAGACCTCGTTGGCGTAGCGTATACTTTCATGGGTAGGTAGGAAGAGCTTGCCGTACACCATAACGCACATACATATATGCTACTTTATGTTGGGTAGGTATATCCACCTTAGTACCCCTTAGATTATTGATACACAGAGAGAGCGAGTGATATGAAGTAACGCAACACTAAGACGAATTAATTTGACCGTTCCCTTATAAACCTTGTGGATAATGCTTACGCTCCTGACAAATTGAAGATACTAGGGCACCTAGATTGGAAATAATAATATCCGTATCATTGACGGTTTGTTATTCATCAATATTTTAGCTGCTTCCCTCATCGGGCTCACATGTAGAATAAATCAGGTATGTAATACATATACCTGCGTCACGTCATCGCCATGAAGATATATGATAGCGAGCAGACAATTACCTGCATGGTTTAGTTGATGCTATCCTGTTTCTTTATCCTCTCATTACCTAAGGTAGTACTTTCATAATCCATACAGGTGTTTTTACTTCCTCCCCCCCTGCTCTACTTCTTGATATAGAGGCTCGAGCAATAGGCCCCAGTCTTCTTTGACATCCCGTTTCAACTCCAGGTTGGTCTTTCGAGACTCGACGAATAGCGTATCGCCGCCTTTAAAGTATGCTAAAACACCCCCCTTGCCATCCATACGAGCTGTAATACGGAAGTAATGCTTGCCCTCTTCGTTAGCTTTTCGGACCGGAATGAACTGAAGGTCATTCTCTTGACACCAATCCTCTATTTCGTCACGGAATGTAGGTTCTGGTTTGTCTATAGGCTGTTGCGGCAGGGGTATGGGCACAGGTTTCTTGTCTGCTTTCGGTTTATGAGAGTGGGTCTTCGGTTGATGGGCAGGGCGCCCGTCAGGCCGAGGGAGTTGATTCTTCGCATCTGCGCCAAGGTCAAGAGCAGTCTCGATCATGGTAGTGCCTTTTTCAAATTCGGCAGAAACGCTTGGAAGAGAAGATATCTCATTAGGTATCGCTTGATCCTTCCACCATTCGAACCAGGCACCGATTTCCTCGTAATTGGCGTCTGCACTGGTGAGCCACTGGTAGAGAATCTCATGCCACATAGGAAACACTTCCGAAACTATGACTTCCCCCACCAGAGATGTAGAGATGACATCCGTCCACTTCAAAACACCGTTGAGCATTTCGAGGTATGGTTCTTGGTCGCTTGGGTCGACGCGAAAATTAACTCGTATATATCGGGAGAGACTTGGGAGGAGGTGATGCATAACCAAAGGCCTCCATTGATCCTGTTCCTTAGTCGGGCGAAATACGTCTTTCCACTGCTTAAGACCAGGCACCACGCCCTTGGAAAAATCCCAAACGTCAATCAGCTGTCTAAACTTACGCCTCACCTCTCCTACTAGTCCGGTTCCCTTGGGCTCCAAATGATGAACTGGAAGATGCTGGAGCCAAGGGAATAGCCATATGTGCAAGTTCTCGTGCCTTTTCCTCGGCTTCCAGCTACTAATTCCAGCTTCGAGTCGCCTTACTACTTGCTCAATGAGTTGCAGACGGACGAATTCAGGTAGAAGCTGTTCCCATTTCTCGAAAAAGCCTAGGAGTGGCGTCGTATTATGAATATCCCAAGTCTGGGAAATAGCCGTTACAAGCTTGGGAAAGAGTATTTGGTAGATCATGGTCTCCCAAGGTGTTGTTGATCTTACGTGATGACGATGTGTACCATCAATTTCGGTATCTTGCCACTTTGTGATGGTATTCTGCTTGGTGGTTTTAGTAAGGCCTAGTAGTCCCCGAATATCAGAGAGGTCGGAAGCAAAACTACCCAGGCTTGGATCTTCTAGCGGCTGCCACCCTTGAATAGCATCCTTTAAGAAAGGATGAATAGCGGAGACTGCAAGGGCGGCTAGCTCTTCGTCACCGTGAGTCGATGCTGCAGACTCGGCTTTCTTAAGCCCGGATATTACCATGTCCCAATCTCTATTATGAGCAGCTTGGCTGACTCCATCTAGGACAGCCGAGAAAACATTGAGCCCTGCAAAGTTGCTCTCTAGTTCATTAAGCTCCTGCTGGTGCTGAGCTTCCTCCATAGCAAGCCATGCCTTTCGTTCCTCTAGACTTCTCCATTCTTCGACAAAAGCTGCGAGATCACCCTGAGCGCGCCTTGCTAGTTTATGTGCTTCCGTTTGCGTGGCCAGCTCGGCACCAGCTTTAGGAGTTAATAACCCCGAACCAGACGTCAGTAGCTTTTGATCTCGCCCGGTGAGATCTAATATTGGAGTAAAGGCGTCTGGAATTTGCAGTCCCGGTGCGGCCTTTTTAATATCAGTAACAGTTAGGTATTTCGTCTTGGGCTTCCTTGGGGTGCTCGCGCCGCTACCGACTGCACTGTCTGAGCCCTTTTTCTTCCCCCTCTCACGCTTTGCCCTTCTTTCTTCATCCGAGTCAATAACCTCCTCCCCTCGCATACGGGCTTGCCGCTTTTCTTCTTTACGTTCTTTTTCCGACTTCTCCCTGACGGCACCAAGGCCAACGCCCTGTGGACGCAAATTTGCTTCAATTATGCCACTTCGTCCCTGGCCCTCAGCACCTAGACCTTGCCCTTCTACGTAGCCCATCTTCTCCATCATTCGAGCCGCAAAGGACTTTGCTTTATTACCACTGAAGGCACTCGACTTGGGCGTTTGGGGTGCTGAGGAAGTGTCATCATCGAGATTCGCTTTTAGGACAGGTTCGTTTGCGGACGAAGGGACGAACCCCTTTCCGAGAGGTGTTTTCCCATCGTATCTTGATTTGAATTTTGGTGGTTTACTCGGTGTCCCGCCGGCGACAGGAATGCTTTGCGACATAGCAGGAGGCGCCCAACCTAGTCCATGTGAGGTGGTACCGAATCCTAGACCGACTCCTGTCATATCCTCGTCCTCGTCGTCTTCATCGCTATCTTCTTGTATTTGTGAGGGGTTTGGGTTGACACCTAAGCCGGGCCGGCTGTTAAACTGTTCTTCATCTTCACCTTCCTCCTGGCCTTTATTGTCTTCTTCGATAGATTCATCGTTTGGATTCTCGTTTAGGTCTTCCTGGCCAGCGGAAACGAATGCTACGTTCTTGTGGCGCAAATCTTTTTTAGACTTCCACCTCTTCCCGGGCCCATCATCTTCGCTTTCGGACCCGAATATTCCTAGGGCGGCGCTTTCTTTGGCGTTGCGACCGGTTCGCCTTCGTTTGCGAGGGTTCAGGTCGAAGAATTCGTCGGCTTGCGGGTTGACAGAAGGCTGCAAGTATTCATCTTCATCCTCGTTGTCAGATGATGAAGAGGAATAGGCAGCTGCATCAGCCTTGGATATTCTACCCGGATCGAAGGACATGCTGCTAGGTCGGTTGTATGGGAACTTTTGAAAGAAGTATTGTCGAGTACATAATTGAAGTTATTATTGATGGACATATTAATTACCTAGATACCTGAATACCTTTACGTATGTATATAAAGTGGCTGTTGCCATGCATGTTCAAGTGTATCGATAAGCCACATGCATTTAATGAGAGTGCACTGTGCTTATGTAAGTACATATCTAGGTACATACATCTTGATGGTATTATTGAGGATATTAATAATACTGAATCTACATTACAACACTTACTTACTTGGTGACTTCAGTTATTCTACTTAGTAAAAGGCAATTATCAAACGTACGATATAAGGTACCCAATATATATAATACCTAGGTCTCTCTATAGCCAAATTGACATGATACTGACCATAAGATGATGTTACAAATATCATAATAACCATACTAATACATAGTAGTTTTATGTAATAGAAGCCATCTCGCAATCTATCCAAGTAGATAACATTCTACTGTACTTTTGTACTTTGGAAAAAACTGGTTAGACCGTCAATGCTTCTTAACGCGTTCCATCCATTCCTTAGTACCTTTGGTACCCTCATGAGCTTTTCTAAACAGCTTCCTCTCCCATTCTTCTAGCCCTCTCAAGAATTCTTCACCAGTGCCGACGCCCATATCCTCGGTAGCGCCAGCTTTCCTAGCATGGAGGGCGATATCAGTGGCTCTCGTAACGAAGGTCCTCCGGAGGATTGCGCATATCTCCCCTTCTTCGAAGACGTCGAGCATACGGGTTCCGAGGCCGTAGAAATTCTGGGATTGGTCGCGGAGGGGTACGGCTCGGGGATCGGCTTTTAAGGCAGACATAACCTCATTGGATAGCGAAGAAGGGAGATCGAGGGAGACAAACGAACTTGAATTTTCTTCTGAACTGCTTGGCGACCTACTCGTGAGAGCAAGATGTTCGGCAAGCCATAACGGCAGACCGACCGAGGTGCCAGTCTTTAACGGTTGTGAAGGGTTGTTGTCGAGATAACCGAGTTCGGGTACCTCGAGCTCGAATTTACAAGGAACTTTCTTGCGGAGAGGTTAGTTGGAGAATAAAGAGGGTACAGAGAGGGTACTCAGGTCTTAGACCTACTTCAGCATCAGTAAGTATCGCATCTATGTCGTAATAGGACATGTTGTGCATACGCCCTTAGAAGTGGATGGAAGATGCTTCTTCATTCTCTAACAACTTCTTCGTGAGATATCTCGATAGAAATAACCTAGTTATAATTAGTTATATGATTATGCACTTATTAGTTGTACTTATTACATGGAACATTGAAGGTCCACTATTGGTGGAGCAAGACGCGCTTTTTACGTGCCATACATCTTTAATTAGGCTTCGGTTCATGTATAATGTAATAGCTCTAACTGTTCGTGAACATCGTGAACACTGTGCGGCACCGTATTTAAAGTACAAAACTAGTGCCCATATGTAACGTGAGAGTACATAATTCCAGATGACGGAATACTGATTGAAAGTTTGCTGCATTAGGTACCTATCATAGAGGTACATACTAAGAAGGCCGATAGCTCCCATGCCCCGCAGTTGACAGCTCGGACATAGCTTCCTCGGTCTCTTGTAACTCACAGAAGTATATGTAACTAAGAAGTACCTACATGTAGTTGACATCATTCCCGGCTGCAGTATCGCAACATAAATGGCTGGGTTGTTTCCGGTCCGGCAGTAGCAGGGCCGAGATATCTCTATAACAGTTTCTAACAGTTTCTTTTACACGAGGTTTTTTTTTCTCTCTACTAAATCTATACCTGTCTTCACTCCTAATTAGCTATAAGTACAAAAATCTTTTTACAGGTTAGAAACCATACACGAGATTTAGGACTTGTAGAATAGAGCAATTCAAAATGGCGACGACATTATTCCGAACGGTTCCTACTGTACGAGCAGCTTTGCGCGCAAGCTCCATGAAACCCGGCATCGCCGCGCTGACCAGCACCTCTTTCGTCAGAGGCAAGGCAACCTTGCCTGACCTCTCTTGTACGTAGCATACCAATTATTCATTATGTGCAAGCTCAATTAGCTAATACCAGCTGCGCAGACGACTATGGCGCACTTGAACCCTACATCTCCGGCAAGATTATGGAGCTCCACCACAAGGGCCACCACCAGACTTATGTCAACGGCCTCAACAGCGCCCTAGAGACCATTGAAGAAGCTAAGGCCAAGGGCGACGATATCCAAGCAGCCGCTACTGCTCCCCTGCTCAACTTTCACGGTGGCGGACACAAGAATCATACTCTGTTCTGGGAGAACCTGGCTCCAAACAATAAGGGAGGCGGTGGTGAGCCCGAAGGTTCTTTAAAGTCCGCCATCGACAAGGACTTTGGTTCCTTCGAAACCCTCCAGAAGCAGATTAATACAGCTCTAGCGGGTATCCAAGGAAGCGGTTGGGCTTGGCTGGTCAAGGACAAGTCTGCCGGTACCCTACAGGTTATCACCAAAGCAAACCAGGACCCGGTCATTGGAAACCAAGTCCCGCTACTAGGTATTGACGCTTGGGAACATGCTTACTACTTACAATACCAGAACCGCAAGGCCGAGTACTTCAATGCCATTTGGAATGTCATCAACTGGGGTACCGTGGCTAAGAGGTTGGAGAAGGCGTAAAGCGTGGCAACTTTACTGTAGATAATGAACGACACGGCACACTTAAGCCCTTGTTACGTGTGAATTTAATATGAACGAATCTGCTGGGTATACGAGTTTATAAGCGAGTCTAAGCAGGTATTGAGCCAGTATATTTATCAATAAGTACAATTGTCTCAATTAGAACAGCTAAGCATGATGTTTCAGTCGTTTCTTCCATCATTATTAAAGCTGAAAAGCCAATGCCTGCCTTTAGACGGTCGAAATACATTTTTCCAGACACAGGCCATCCTTTGAATGCGATCACGAAGTTAAAGCAAGGAGAAGAAAATTACATTAGTGATACAGCGGTCTCCGGGCTATGCACTTGAAGCCCTCACTTGTAGTCTATAGAAAATGGGTGTCCTTCCAAAAACACCGGTCACATAAACACCGCCGGCCTATATTAAAAATTCCAAGACGAAATACCTGTCTCCTCCTATTAGTCTTAACACTGGAATTCCTCGTGCAAGACTTCTTCAGCGGGAATCATGCCTATCGTAGTTTGTGCTTGGCGTAATATAAATAAGGTCGTGTGAGGTAAGTACAAGTGAATGACTTCGTTTATACTATGCCTTTTTCGTTTCGTTGCCGCGATCAGCAATAATCTGCTCAGCGAGTTCTGTACACACTATTTATATTTATTAGTATGCTATTTATCAAATGTAGACAAAGAAACGAAAAGTAGTTAACTAGTAAATAAAGAAAAAAAAAAAGGGAATGTAGGGGGTCTCAACTTACGCTTTCGGATACTGGTACCACCGAGCAGTTTGATCACGGATACATCTTTGCCGATTGACTTGAAAATCCATCCGCGGATTTCAACTGCGGCGAGCGAGTCTACACCTAGTTCAGAAATACTCTGGCTCGGGCATATGGCCTCTAGGGGAAGCTGAAGGAGCGTCTGCAATCGCTCCGTGTATGCTACTAGGATAGCCTGAGAGACAGCATCTGGTTCCGTAAGAGCCGCGATAGTATCCTTGAGGCTCATGCGTGTGCCTGTCGTGGCAGCAACTGTGTTCTCAGTTTCCTGGCGGGTATAGTGAGCGAATCTAGGGTCCTGATGCCAATGCAAGGGGTTTGGGTCAGAAGGATCGAATCGGCGAAGGCCAGTCGTAAGGTCCATTGGAGATGCCTGTCCAGGACGGCCCGTGATAACGGCCTCGAGGAACATATGGTGGATGTCACGCTCGGAAATTGGCGGATATCCCTCACGTTCTAGGCCGGCGTACAGCTCCTCTTTCTCTCGCTGTAGAAAGCCGAGACCATAAATGACGCCGATGTTCAACACCGAACCAGCAAGCCCAAGCTGACGTCTCATACCTGCCAGTCCATTCATGTACATATTGGCCGTGGCGTAGTTCGACTGGCCTGGGTGGCCACCAATGGCGGCGAAAGACGATGTCATTATGAAGAACTCAAGATTGGGGTCGTTAAAGACACTGTGTAGGTTCTGGGAGCCAACAGTCTTGGGACGTAGAACTCGTTCCCACGTGTCAATATCCATCTGCGCGAAGACACGATCATCAAGAACCATAGCACCATTGGCTACGCCACCAACAGGAGGCATTGACTGAGATAGGCCGTTCCTGAATGCCTGTACGCTTGCGAGGTCGGTGACATCGCATTTGCGCACTTCGATCTTAGCATCATAAGAGTTTGATAGTTCTCCTATCCACTTGGGATCTGTCTTCGGATTACGACTCGCCAGGACAACATTACGGGCACCATGCTTGAGGAGCAGATAGCATAGACTTTGTCCAAAGTCTTTGGTCAACCCAACTAATACGTACGTCCTGTCTGCGCGGAAGAGTTGCTCCGTGATGAAGTGCTTAGTAGTAAGCTCAGCGTTGCGATCAGCTCTCCAGTCGATGATGCGAAATAGCGACGATGGAATCTCGGTGCGCGATTGTAGAACCGAGAGGGAGAGAGCATCAAAGTCCACATGTCTATGCGGGTTGGTAACATTCGATCCCAAGGCTCTGATAACCGCTACTCTCCAACCAGTCTTCCAGAAGTAGTCCTGCTGCGTATTCGCTTCGGAGATGTTGCGAGGGCCTAATAGAGTGCTACAAGAGTAGTACTTGCAGTTATTCGGGAGCAAGTTTGAAATCTGCTGTGATAACTTGGTACGTTCCTGCGATTGTAAGTCGAAGACAACCGCCCCCGATGCCGGGAACATGCCCTTGATATCCCTAGCTGATACACGCGGATGTAGGAATAAAGGACCATGCGCACCACCTTGCTCTGAATACGTGGTGGTATACCATGTTACGTGGCCTATCACAACCTCCTTTATACACTCAACAAGCAGCGGGTCGGCATCGATGAGAACGACACGTCGTCTTTCAGCTTGAGTTGCAACCATGCCGGCCACTAAATATCTCATAGCAAGCGAGATGAGGTGAGGTCCAATATTGGCGCCCGATCCGATGGGATGCACTTGCTCCTCCGGAAGTTGAACATACGAAGTATTGTTCTGAGACATAGCTATCACACGTTCGCCAGTAGCCAGGTCTTGACCGAGGCACATATAAGCCATAGCCGAGTTGTTGAAACTCAGAGCTACCACCGAGCTATAATCCAGCCGGACTGAGACCTGTTTAAGATGTCGATTGTGAGTATTGGCATGTTGAAGTTTGGCCTCATAGCGGACTAGGCCACTAGGAAGGGCACATGGGATAACTTCGATAGCTTCCCTAAGAGTGTTGCCATAGTTCGAAACTACGCGTCGCATAGAGTTGACTCCGTCATTCGACATCTTCAGGGGCATAACACGAGGAATGACACGCCTCTCTTTTTCAATATGGATCTCTCGCTCATCAACCCGGAGAGCGCTAGTATCATCTTCACCAGTCATCATAAGGCGGATAAAGTTGTCGGCTACGAGATCCCCGGATCCAACAACTTGATCTAGATCAAGCATCTGCAAGGTCAAGCTAGGAATTTCGGCCGAAACCGTACGCGTGAATCCAAAGGTGGCAGCGTGATCAGGATTTCCAAAACGTGCATTGGATGTGAGCCACATAACCTTCATGTTAGGTTTGAGTAGTTCTCGCAGTCGATCAAGCGTCCGCTGTGTCATATTCGACATCAATGGCTTGTCAAGATCTGCTAGGATGATAGCAGCAGTACAGCCACCTGTGACATCTGAATCGACATTATCAAAAGTAGCTCGGAAAGAGACTTTATTGCACAAAGGCAAGAGACGTTGCGCCAATGCCTTAGCAATAGGAGTGCTGGATGAACCATTACCGCCAATGATAAGAAGATGGTCTGCGATAATGCTTCCTTCAGTTCTTGTTGGCTCCTTCACAAGCTCTAGCTCGGGAGAAGTCAATTGTCGGACCATTATTGAGTATCCCGCATAGTATGACTGGTTGCAGTGCTTTGCGACCTGAATAAAGCCATAAGTATCGAGGGCGTCAGGCCACTGGGGTGGCGTTTGCGCCCCGGCTCTACCATCCCGATCCTCTGAGGTTTGAGGTAGTTGGTATTTCAACTGGCTTTTGGGAAATTGTACGACAACTAAAAAACCTCTTGGTCTCATAATAGCACGTACACTTTTCAATATTTCTGACGCATGCTCATTCTCAAGTTCTGAGGCCGACAGCAAAACCAAATCGTAAACGTTGTCCAGTCCAAGCTGAGCCTTGAGGTCCCCTGCAAAATCCAGCGATGAACGAATGAGTTTACCAGAAGAGCCTTCTAACTTGACGTGCTGGCCTAGGCTCTGGGTCGTCTTAGTACCGATAGTGAAGGAATAATATGACGAATCGAGAGCCGACAGGACTTCAACAAGAAGTTCAATCTCCTGTCCGGCCAGACTGAGGATATTCATCCCAGCGTGTTGATGGGCAATCTGCTTCGCAATCCGCCCCACGTGTTGGTGAGAGTAGGTCAGGTAGTTCGTCTCGCTTGCAAGGGCTTGGAGAACATCTATCACGAAGCCCGGCTCATAATTGCCGAGCGTGCGAATCAAGTTCAAACGGTCATAATAGTTTGAACATTCCACGAACTTATCGATATTCTCTTTCGTGTCAGAAGACCAACATTCAGGGCCTACAGTCCCTAATATTATTGGGAACGATTTCGCCAATTTCTCATAGTAGAGACTAAGATCCGATGACTGCGCATGGGTATCATGATATTGTCTGACAAAAAACGTAGCTACACGCGCACAACTCTCTACGAGTACCGGATCGTTTGGACTGTGTGTGATAGCGGACACCCCGTCTGCGCGAACGATCTCATCGCTGGGGTCCATATCTGTGACAGTGTGAAGATACAGCTCATAGTCATCCTTTGGTTGAATGTGTGCCAAAGCGGCAACTGTCAGTCCCTCGACTTGAATCTCCATGTCTTTGTTCTCATTGAATATACTTATGTCAACATCGAAGGTAGCCTTGGTGTTAGTCATTGAGGGTTGGATATCTACCATATGAGTATCCACAATCAAACTATCGCTCTCACTCGTCGTCAGATTAAAGCGTATTCGATCGATATGTACGGGGAGGAAAGAAGTCCAAAGGGATCTGTTGAACTCCAATGTCAGTTGACTCAAAATATAAAAGTTATAGCGTTATATGGGAACTCACTTATCACCTGGGAAAGCATATGTCAAAAACGCTGACTGGAAACAGGTGTCGAGTGTGGCAGGACTGATCGGTAGAGTCGTCGTGTCTTCTGCATGGTGGCGCTTCAAGGTTGCACTACAGTAATTATAACGACGTTGGATGGACTCCAGTGCCTTGAATGGCCCAGTATACTCCAATCCAATTTGCGCCATCATCTTATAGAAAGACTCAGGGGTCGCACTGAACGCCTCTGACTCAGAGGCACATCGAGACGGCAGAGCACCCAGAGTAGGCTCGCCTAGGTATATCTTAAGGTGTCCGACCATGTTCAACCGCATAGTTGTCGTTCCGTCAGCAGGGCAAGATACCAAACTGAAGTTCGCCTCTATTGTTGAATTCGCACTT